TGGTGCTTTGTCACAGCAATAAGAGCCCTAACTAAGACATCTACTCTCCTATATCTGACTATAGGTAAATTTATATTTATTGTCATGAGATAATAAACATTTATTTATTATGTATCTATAAGACAATTGGGAAGTGCTCGTGCCAGTCTATGGGTCTGGTAGGATAGTTCTGTCTCATTCTGGGATCCAGGCTGTACTGTCTGATTTAATACTCGTCCATTGTTCCTAGATCAATGGCTAGAAGGTAATAGGTTCAGCAATAGTTTGAATTAATGAGAAAATTTGCTAAGACTCTCTGGCTTGCTCTGGTCCTATCATAGTAGTCTACAGGCAGATCCCTAACACCTCCCTCTTGGACCAGGAGGAAGCTTATTCATTTAGTCAAGAACTCTTTTGTAAGTGAGGGTGTAGCTTAGGAATACTTGACTAACATGTATAGGCCCCGGGTTCAAGTCTCAGAACTGGAAAATAAATAAATAATATCCATTTTGATTATTTATTATGTGTTGTCAGGAGTCACCTTTTTTGGGGTGACTCCTGCCATAACCCTAGCCATGGCAGGTTCATACGTTCCAGTATAGAGGCATGAGAATTAGAAAAGTTAGGTAGGAGGAACAGAGATAAGAAATAAACACAGAGACATAGAATAGTAACAGGCGGGCAATTCTGTGAATACTGAATGCTGAATTCTGAGTTCTGATTTCACCTGCATTTATTTTTCCATACATTCTATACCTCAATACAAAAGAGGGGAAGAAGACAAAAGACTGCCTTCACATGATACAAAGGACAATCAGAACAGTTACTTGCCCCAGTACTTGAGACATTAAGCCATTAATTCTTGAGAAAAGTATTTGATGCTTGGAGCAGCAAAAACACCATAGACCAAGTATTCTGCAGGCAGTCACTCCCTAGGTCAAACCTTTTGTTTCAAAAGAAAGAAAAATAGTGGAACAACTTCTATGGGCCATCTTAATGTCCAAAACACCAAGTAACCACATCCTAGGTCAGGGTGTATACCTGTTGTCAACAACTTTGAGCAAGCAAAATAAACCAAACTCTCTAACCTTCAGACAAGGTGGGATAGGCTCACATTTTGGGGCCTCCACAATGTGTCAAACATTAGCAAAACCCTGAACATATAGGTTACATAATTCAGACTCAGTACTATGTCCTTACAAAACGTGCAGTTTAGTGAGAAAGCAGACACAAGGAAGGGTTTAGTGTTTGAGAGGACCAGATTTCTGGAGCTCTTGTGCTTTAAGCGACTCTTGAAGAATTCCATGGAGTTAAGTCAAGGGTTTATGACAAGAGGATGGAGTTCTAAAGAAAGCATGCCGGGCAAACGAACTACATAACAGAACTGTAGTTAGAACACAGGGCATGAGAGAAGGTGACATATTGAAGATGCAATAGTGAGCTTCTATTAATTGTCCCTGGAGTCTGATACCTTTACCAGTGTGAATCATTTCTATTCCTATCCCACTGCTCTGACATATTGGAAAGAAAGTCGCAGCATTACCAACTGAGAGCCTTTGAAGGAAGGCACTGCAGGCATCCACACTGTTGCTAAGCTCATTTCTTATTTTGGAACTCAAGAAAAAAATATTGTGGTATGCCCTTGGGCAAAAGCAATTTACCTCAAAATGTTTTCCCGCCTTTGAAAACTGCCAGGAAGCTCAACATTTGGCCTCACCAGAGTACGCTTGGTTGGCAGTTGGGCTCACTGAACTACAGGCAACCAGGAAGTGTTCCCACTCTTCTGTCCCCACTACTCCATGAAGTCTTTTGATGGAGGAAGGTAATTGGTTAATTATAATAAACCAACTGCTTGGCCTCATAGCTTAGAACATAGGTGGGTGGAATAAACAGAATAGGATGCTGGGCAGAAGAGGAAGTGAGGTCAGACTCTGCTCTGCTCCCGGAGAGACCTGACAGCTCTGCTCTCTGGAGCAGAGACGCCATGCTCAGCTCTCCCAGGTAGACCCTACAGCTCTGCTCTCTGAGGCAGACGCATGAAGCTCAAACCCAGGATGGACGGAGGCTAGAATCTTCCCGGTAAGTGCACCTTGGGGTGCTTACACACATTACTAGAAATGGGCTAGTCCAGGTGCGAGAATTAGCCTGTAAGGGCTAGAGTTCATGGGCCAAGCAGTTCTTAAATGAATACAGTTTGTGTGTTGTTATTTCGGGCATGAGCTAGCAAGCGGCCGGGGTGTTGGGGACGCAGCCCCGCCGCTTCTTATTTCAACAGTCTTTACTAATTCTCCTCAGTCCCCTGTCTAATCAGCCACAGTGGTTGGATTCTGGTTTCCTCCTCTAATAGAGTACATCTGCATCCCCCGCATATGTCCAACTTAAAATGATCATGGAATGGCTTCCTGGGTCAGTTCTCAGAGTCAACCTAATTAGCTAAGTTCTGAAGATGTGAGATTTGGATTAAAAGGGGGCTAATTGGGCAAATGAACTTTAGATGCAATCCCAATATACAACTCTGATTTCTCAACTTCTGCTTCTGCTGTTTCTCTGTCCCATAAACTCTGTGGGATGTGCTGAGCTGAACTCAGCATGCTGATTAGAAAATGTGCTGACCCACAAGCATCTCCAGTGTGAGCTGAAAGCATCAGAGTGTCGCCTTTAAGTCTGCTTCATTAATAAGGCTGGGTTTTTTCCCCAATTTTGACTCTTAATATTTCATACGTTTCAAAGGACATGTATATATGATACCTGCTAAGAATTATAGGCCAGAAATATTTAAAAGTGGTACCATATGTTACATCTATGTCTAAGAGTATTTGTTTCTGAGCATGCTGTTCTTTCTGGTACTTTTACTGAACTATCTCTCCTGTGAGTAAACTGTATTGGGACGTATCAAGAATATGAGGTAGAAGTGACATGCTATTCTTTTAAATATATGTTTATATTTAACATTTGAGAATTTCAAACATGCACACAATGTGTTTTGATCAAACTCACCACCACACTCCCTCCCTCAAACTCCACCCACATCCCACCACCACTTTTCCCGCTTATTACAAGTATTCTTTTTTCTAAACCTGGAAGCCTAATTAGCGCTGCCTGTATGTACATGGGTCATGCTTTTTGGGTGAGACTTGAACAGAAGTTGGATGTTTTGAGAAAGGTATTCCAGGCTAGCCTTGAACACGGGATTCTCCTGACTCGGCCTCCTAACCCCAGGATTATGGACATATGCTTCTATGCCTAGCTCCTAGACGGCACATGTCTTCTCAGGTTCTCTAAACTCTCCTTGACAACTTGTAAAACTGATAAGCTGTTTAAATTCAGCGTAATGAAAAATTCTGGATGACATGAACATAATTCTAAAACATCCCTAAAATCCCACAAGTGTTCCCATTCTTATGCCTTAATTGTAGCACTTTTAGGTGACTAAATATTAATGCCAGGGCTGTGACCAAGCTAGGCAAGTGCTCTACACTGAGCTATGTTTCCAGCCTTAATTATTCCAAATAAAACATTTTTATGAAGCAAAATTTAATCTGTCCAGATAGCTTTTAAATATGTCTATGAATTATGTGGTTGTCCTCCTTCTAGAACATGGAGCCTAAATCTTCTTCCTTTAAGCATGAGCTAGGTTTAGTGAATCACATCTAATGAATAAAATACTGCAGAATGATCGTGCATAACCAGATTGCTACGAGCACACTGCAGCTTCTGCCTTATTCTCTTGATCTGGGGGTATCAATGGCCCTGCCATGAGAACACCCAAGCAGCCTTCCAACGAGGTCAACGTGGTAAGGAGCTGAGGTCAAGTCTACTATCCAACAAGTAACCAAGGCAGCATGCCATCAGCTTAGAAGCTGATTCCCCCAGCTGCAGACACATCTCCAGATAACTGTAGCCAAACCAATCCTGACACGGAAGCTTCAAGTAAATCCCAAGCCGAGACCATGTAGCTTAATCAACTCCCAAGGTCCAGACCTGTGAAAACTGTGAAATAGATGCCTATTGTTTTAGATTATGACAATGTGAGATATGTCTTCAGAGGAATTAATAATGCCATAGCCTACGTAAGTGCACACTCTCTTATATAATTCACCACTCATTCAAGAAATACTTAAAACTTAATACTTGGAAATGCCATGGTTTGGGAGACAAGCATTGTTCTTTAGGCTTCATGTAATACACAGTTTTAAAAAATGCCTGAGAGTCTAGCCCAGGGATCACATTCTCAAACACAAATTAGGATTTCACCCAACAAAGAAGGTGTGTTTTATAAATTGTTTAAGCAAGCTGCCACACTGCTTTGGGATGGAAATGTTGGTTCTGAGACTAAACAGCTCTCCTTTCCTATAGATTCCTTTTCCTTTGGCACTGCCCAATCCATCCTTGGCTCCTCCAAAGAAAAATGCCAAGAGAACACAGCGCTTTGCCCCGTCCCTTCCCTCAGGCCTATTATTAGAAAAGTTGATCCGGCAGATTCTTCATCCTGACCAATGACTTCAGATATCATGAGGTCTGCCCTACCAAGCCAGATTGTTCTGGGATATGTGTGTGACTCCACACAACCCATCAAGTGAAGAGCTATGGTGTCATTTCCCCCAGACCGGCTGAGGCACGCTAGCTTGAGTTATCTTCTTACCTCTTTTCAGGAAAGGAGGCCAAGTGTTAACTCTGCAGGCACTCAGCAAGATGTGAGACTCTTGTCCCCAAGTCGCTTGTAAATGAACTTGTAACAGCAGATTGAGTGGTATATGTACCCTCTGAGGGCCTCAACATAGGGGGGGTCATTTCAAAGGTAAAAATCCCGAGAGCAAGATTCTATTCCATGATGGTCAACTGTGTAATGAGTAGACCTGGCCTTTTATTGGAGGTCACCTATCTTTCATCGATATTTCCTCATAATATTAATAGGTGACAAAGCAAGCGAAATGCTGTTCTCCCAGCTCGCCGGCTACAAATAACTCTGAGGTTATGATTTCCAGTGCAAAGGACACCAGGCCTCTCTCTCTCTTCCTCAGGTGAAAGTGTAGAGGAAAACGCCAGTGTTGTGGTCAAGCTGCTCATCCGACGTCCTGAGTGCTTTGGGCCGGCTCTGAGGGGTGAAGGAGGAAACGGACTGCTGGCAGCCATGCAGGGGGCTATTAAGATCTCAGAGAACCCTGCGCTCGACCTCCCCTCCCAGGGTTACAAGACAGAAGTGTAAGTGAATTACTCCAGTGCCTGCGCAGTTGGTACGCGGCCAAATACTGTCAGTCAGTGAATCGCTAGGGTCGGCTCAGGAAGCGTGCCTGGTAGAAAGAGCACAGATGTTTTATGGCAGTTAAAATGCTTCAGATCACTTTGTCAGGCCCATTACTGTTAGGACCTGCCCAGAGAGCCTGGGGATCAGTAGTGACTCCTTCCATTTCCTCAGACCCTTCAGCCCAGCTGGCAAACCACTGAGGCAGCAAAGCCTTCTTTCTGGCTTCTACTGCACCTGCTTACAGCATGGCTGCAGGAGGATTGCTCAGGAGAGCGCTTTAAGTGTATAGATTCCTTGTAGATTGCTGTAGGATTTAAGAGTTCAGAGTTTAGTTAGTACAGTTATTGATCCCCTTGTCACTTTCCCTCTATCGTGTCCAGTGGTCCTTTGCCTTTTATATACCTAGTTTATACACCATAGTCTGCAGAATGTGTGTAACCCACCAGAGTTGACTGTCCAAACAGTTGGCTTTTTCCCCCTTTGTCATCAGTTCTGATAGATCACTTAGTCGATAAGGGAAAACTCAAAATATCTTTGCCTCAACTTTCTTCTATAACATGATATAAAACGAAGACCCAGAGTAGAATAGTTTGGTAACCTCATAGCCCGACTCCTGCCTTCTTGTCCAACTGGATACTCAGGGAGGAAGAGGGAATGAAAGGTGGATAGTGCCTGAACTCACGTTTCAAGGTTCACGGAAGCCTTAAGCTATCATGAAAAAATATTTGGGACCTTTGGGCATACTGAGTAAAGCCACGTCACCAGCCTCTGGGGTGGGAAGTGGTGAGGGAAAGTTTGTTCAGCCTGAATAGGGTGTTTTTAGCAAGCAGTGCCTGGCCTCTCACACACCTTCCTCATGTGGACTCTTTCTCTGCAGCACAGAGGATGACGAGGAGGAGGAAGAGATTGTGCACATGGGCAATGCCATTATGTCGTTTTATTCGGCTCTTATTGATCTACTGGGCCGCTGTGCTCCTGAAATGCATGTAAGTGACTGAGTTTCCTGACAGCAGCTTTGAGGAACAGCAGCCCAAGTGGAGAACACCGGGGAACCCCGAGTGTATTTCTTCTTCTGTGCCTGGCATTTACTAACAAACTTTGTTCCAAGTTCCTTTCAGCTAACACCAAAGCAGTTTCCACTTCAAATGCCTGAATGGGCCACCGTCTAAGGAAGAAAGTGGGTGTGCATGCAGGCATGTGTGTGTGTGTGCTCTTTTTGGTACTATCTGGATATAGCCTCTACACATATTGTTTAAAAAGTTTTTTGAAATGAGGCTTCCATGTCCCTCAGTTTGGTCAAAACATGGCTAGCCAGATTTTGGCCATGCCGTTGTAAACGCCTCATGAGTGCCACATAGACACTCTGTGTGGGAAATACTGGCTTGATGAGCATATGGCTTTGGTCTCTAGGAAAACAGTTTTGCAGGCACATACACATAAAGATGGTTCTGTATGATGTGATATCTTCTCAGAACTCCAGTTTTGGTCTAAAAAGTGTTCATTGCCTTCCATTTTTCACTCCCGCTGATAAGATATTTGACGTTATTTTATGTAAAGCCTCACACTGAAATTGAGAGGAAATAGCTGCTCTTCTTGTGGAAGGGAAATCTAAATCTTGGTGTTGGGAAGCAGATGAGAATCACTAGGGCACCAGTTCCTGCTGTGATATACCAGCCCTGCCTCATCAGTCTGTCTTTTCATTTCGGTGCCTTTGAGCAAGGAAAGAACACAGAAGGAAGCCAGGGAAGTGGCAGGGAGTCTATAACTTGGAGGAGAAGAGTTAGTCCCCTTTTGTTAGTACTCTGGTTCCCTTAATCGCTTTTACACTTCTGGAAGCAAGTTCCATAGCTGCCATGGTCTCCAAAAGACAGCCTGCCAAAGCTGATTCACTAGAGCTGGCCTAAGGAAGAAATAAATACCTGCCCTTCTGCCTACCACCTCTGTGCCCCAACAGATTCACACACATAAATACACACACACACACTTAGGCATGAGCACATGCACGCACACACGCGCACCCCTACACCCCATCTCAGAACCCCTTCTGCAGAAGGAAAGAGATAAAGCTGCATCATTGCTGATAGCCCACCAGAAAGAGAGGTGGCAGACAGGATCCCGCTCGCTTTCTCTGGGGCCCCATGTCTCAGAATGCATCAGCCCACCTGGGGGCAAATCTGACCCTGTGCTCCTGGAGAGTTACTTCTCAGCAGAAGGTCCACTGCCACCTCATCAGAGACCTCTGCAGGAAGATGAACATGTACACTTGTGTGCATGCTGCTTGGCCAGTTGGTTTGTGTATGAGTAAACCTAGCCTCCTTGGGGTGACTCCAATGGAACACTCCAGTTATCTTCGACAGTGTCTAGACTCTTCTTACCCACCCGCAACATTCTTCAAGCTCAGAAGAAACTGGAGTTTCTAAGTCATTTTCTCATCTGCTACACTTCTGAGGTCTGGTACTGTGAACACAGTCAGCTCTTCCGACATGGCTGTGAGGGCTCCCCACTGAGGGTTGATACCTTAATGGCTGAGGATTTCAGCCTCAGGAAAGAATGTGGCTGCCTTCAGTGGCTTATTCCCTTGGTCTCCCTTCTTGTAGTAAATCAAGAGGAAGTCTCTCTCTCTGTAGTCACACATATCAGTAGCAATTGGGGAGAACTCAGAAACAGACCCCTGCTGTCGGGACCACTTTCCTGCTGTGATTAGGCGGTGCAGTGTGGCAGGTGTGGGGACTTATCTATCTACTCTCTTTCCATCTAACAGCTCATTCAAACAGGGAAAGGGGAAGCCATCCGAATCCGGTCCATCCTGCGCTCCTTGGTCCCCACAGAAGACCTGGTTGGAATCATCAGCATCCCCCTGAAACTGCCCTCCCTAAACAAAGGTAAGGAGCAGCCTTAGTCAGAGCCTGCCTTCTAGCACTTGCCTGCTCAGCAGCAGGACTCTGCCAGAGTTCCCTGCCAGATGACAATGCAGGCTGCCAGGGGACGTGTTCTTTTACTGATGATGAGTTTTCTGTAGACTTAACCTAGTCCTCTAGCATCTGCTTCCCTGTGATGAGATGCCAAATCATTGGCACTCAGGTACAGACTGGCCTCACCATTCTGGGATCAGGGACCACTCTAGCCTTCTGAAGTGTGATAAAATGAGCAGGCAACAGCTCTTACCGTGGCCTGACTTCTCCATTGCCAGTGTGCCCTAAGGGTCTGAAAGACCTCACAGCCCAGGAGAATAAGTTACCCCCAATGCTACTTGTGGCATTTGGCACCAATCATCCCCAAGACATTTTGAGTCTCTGAGTTACTCTGTCTGATGACCTTAATTTCATCAGGCACGTGATGTCATTAAAAGGATAGCACGAGTCTGGCTGTTGCAGTGTTTCCCAAACTCCCATTCCACAAAACACCATCAAAGGATATCTTAATATACTTACGTAGTAGGGGCTCATGGACAAATAAATATTGAAATGGTTATAGAATATGCATTTTATTAATGTTCGAGAATATGTGTCACTTTCATAACTTCATACAGCACAGTGGAGTAATGGTGTGTCAGAGAAAACGGGAAAAGGAAATAGATGTTAAACTCCATGCTTCCCAAAGACGTGGTGCTTTCTTTCAGCACAAAACACTTGCTGAATCCCACGCATATAGTATTCATCAAAGCACCACAGCTGTCAGTCTTAGACACCCACTCCCAATCTTCCTTGTGCTGCGGGGTGAGAGGCTCCATGGCGCCCGTCCCGTCCCTCTTACCGGACCACACAGACTTCTTGGCAGAAGGAGGCCCTGAGATGGACAGTACGTCAGCCCTGTGCCCCTTGGGATGTCTTAGGAAGTCTGCTCCCATTCAGCACTCGCAAATGCTGTGACTTTTCTTGGTCATTTGCAAATTGTCTTTCCTAGTTTTTGGTGCATGACCAGAGAGAGAAGGCTGCTCATCTTTCCCCCTAAAAACTCCCTTATTTTCCGAGTCAAGCAGGCTGATTTTTCTCTGCAGATTCCTCACTTTAGCCTTGTGCCAGGTTTTTGCACTCCAGTCAGTCTAAACTGATGGGGTAATTTGGTCTCAGTATCACCTGGAGCAGACACTGAAGGAGTACTTGCCTTCTTTTGCACTGTGGTGCGATGACTACAGACTTGACATATCATATCATCTACTTTCTTAGCATTTTCCCTTACATTCCTGCATCATCCACCAAAAGAGCAATAACGCAAGCCTCGATTTCCTAGAAATTTCCCTATTTTGTAGGATAAATATTCCCACTATAGGTAGCTTCATGCTGCCAATGTAGCGCCACAGAACGTGGAGTTGGAGAGAGAAGCCATAAACTACACCATCATGTTGTATTTGAGTCGGTAAGTTACAGCCCACATGAGTATACTTTATAGCAAAATTAGAAACCTGTGAACTGTGCCTATAGGTTACCTTTAAAAATATAATCTACTCCATTATGAATTTAAACTTTTAATTAAAATGTGTTTAGTAATCAGCTCATAGAAATTTGACAGTCGCTTCTCCCATCCTAGTTTAAGCTGCTTCCAATCTGGTTCTTATTCCTAACCTTCCTGTTGCCTATCACAGCAAGCTACGGAGAGACAAGTTCTATGCTGTGTTTTCTAACTGTGTGAACAGGGAGCAGGAAGTGATGTGTTCTGTCTTTCAGATGGATCAGTCAGCGAGCCGGACATGGCAGCCAACTTCTGCCCTGACCACAAGGCACCCATGGTGCTGTTTTTGGACCGTGTGTATGGCATTAAAGATCAAACCTTCCTGCTCCACTTGCTGGAAGTTGGGTTTTTGCCTGACCTACGAGCATCTGCATCCCTAGATACAGTAAGTAGCTAAAATAAAGAGTGTAGAAGAGAATTCCCCTCATGGTTAGGTGAGTAACATTGGACTTAGGAATACATATTTCCTGACTACTTGATGGTCATATTTTAATGGCTCACTTAATAGTGAGAAAAACAAGAGGTACCAAAAACTGGAAAACGTTCATTTATTGACCCAAAATCTTACATGCAGGTAAATTTGGCCTTAATTTTCTGTTTCAGTCCCTTCCATTGAAGTTTCTCAAACCTTAGGGCACTATTTCTTGAGGAAATGGCGAAAGGGAACCAGACAATGATGTCCATCATAGCAGGTTTTCATGGCATGTCTGGCTACCTGTAAAATACCAGGAGCAATTTTTCTGTTATCCAACTCCTTCTTATAACCAATTACGGAAATCACTAACGGTCTCCCAGGAGACAAAAGAATAAATTCTATTGTTTATGGAAAAGACTGGCTGGAAGCCTTTCAGGCTACAGATACTCTTCCCTTTCTTGCCTATTTCATCCCACACACGGGCCAGCAGGAAGGATGGTCTGCAGCCAGAGGTATAACAGAGGTCAGTACAGGAAGCCAAGGACAAAGACACAGTGGGAAATCAATGCTGGGATAAAGAAATCCAGCATACACAGGCATCAAGTCACGAAGTGTCTGACCCTAATATAAGAAACTCCAGCTTTCATATCTGTGTCTTGTGGGGAGGGCGAGGAGGATGCAACAAGCTAGATCGGCTTAATTTCAAAAAACTTTCTTATAGGCGTGTTTGCAATTAGGTTTCTGAAGGGCGCCACCTGGTGTCCAGTAGGCATAAGTATGAGCTCTGCAGTGAAGGATTTGCTGCCAGGACCTCCATTCATTTACTGGGCATGAAAATGAGGAATGGTCTGTCAGTGAAGGAGTCAGGGCCATCGGATCCTTCTATATATTCTCTATAACCCACCCAGCACTACTCTTGTTTGGAGCTTTTCTATAAATCCCTAGGTTTTAAAAATAACTTTTCAAATTTGTGGACTTCAAGTTTCCTGATTAAAGCCTTTAATTCTTTTTGTAGTTCAAATAGCAAATTCTCTTCTAGCATTTGATGTTTGATCACGTGCTTGCCAAAGCACCATCTGCCCCTCCAAAAAAATAAATAAAAATAAAGAGAGAGATTTTATGTTCAGTTCCTCATCTGAGAACTTTCAAGCCGCAGGACTGCAAGCCCCGCTTCCTCGTTTGAACCACGCAGTCCCTGAAAGACATAAATGAGAAAGATGAGCTATGATCTCCAGTGTAGTTGCCAATGTCTCCAGAAGATGAACTTCTGATAATTAATATGAACACCCAGAAATGTGAAGGCTTCAAAGAAAACAGTTTCCCAAATCATAAGTTGTAGGACATGTTCATTCAGATATAATAGCTGTGATAATTGCAGGAAATAATGACATTTTATCTCTGTGGGTCTCAAGGCTTCTTCTGAAGTCCTTCAGTCTTCAACAATGACATTAGTCACGCCACGCTTTGGCTATATTTAGTGTCACTAAATGGATCATCCCCGAATTCAGCTTGTCCATCTAAGTTTACAAAGAGGAACAAAGTGAAAGAGGATTATTCCAGAGCTTTGGAGAAGGCCCTAGATTCCTGTTCCTTTTTGTACTTCTCCTGCAGCGTCTGGTTCCTGTTAGTGAGGTCAACCCTCGTATCATTTACCAGGTTGTGAACAGCCCAGAATACGAATAAATTAACTAGTGGGCATCAGAAAGCCACTTTCTCTTCGTAAAGCTGGTGGATTTGAAGGACAGTATACACCCATTTATTAACCTTTATCCCGGGAAGTCAACCTGTGAGACTCCTGCCCATAAGGTAACAAGTGAGAGCTCCATACAGAATGAGGATGCAAACATCTGGAACCTGGGCATTCAAATAGCAGTTGATGCCCATTGACTGAATTCAGTGAAAGCTTAAAATTCTTCCCTGAGACCATTTAGAATCCAGTCATTTCTAGATGTTTGCTTTGTGTCTGGGGATAGGGGATAATCCTTTTTTTTTTCTTTTAAATGGGAAAAAGAAGTGTGTAGAGGTCCCTGTAGGCTGTCCAGCTGGCAGAGAAGTGATCCAGGTGAGGGGAGAATGAAACTCAGGGTGGTCCAGTTTAGGTAGCTGGTGCCAGGCCAAGACTTTGAGAGTCTGACCTAAGTTTGTTTATTTTTACCGTATTTAAGCATAGCATATTTAACTCACTCCCATGAGTACAAGGAAGCATAAGCCATGTCTACATAGAAGCTCTTTACAATGTAGATATGGTTTCCTTCCTAAAATGGGTTCTTGTTGACTTAGAAACCACACCTAAGATAAGGTCTAGGAAGGCTGACTGAGGTAAGTGCAATGCCAGCAGGGGCCAGGATTTGGCCTGGCCCTAAGAAAACATAGAAGTCACTTAGATTGTTGTAAAACACAAATGACATCTCAAGGATGAGTTTTATGCACTAAAAGCAATGCTCAAGCGATTTAAGGGGAAAGGCCTGGGGTGAGTAAAACATAAATTCTGGGAGATATGAGCAGAAAGACAGCAAAGGATCACCAGGTTGTAAACCACATCCATTCCCAGCATTCCAGGAGGAACAAGTTTAACATCTCCTTCCTTTGAAGGATGCCTGCGTGTTTAACTTACCCCGTGTCTTCGCTGCTTATCTGTGGGCACGGGTGCCCTCTCCAGATAGCCTGTGAGTACAGCTGTGTCTAAGTTTCTCTGAGGAAACTTCCCATACACAAGGTGAACGGGCTGCTTTCTGCGAGGTTAACTAACGCCCTCACTCCCTTTCTCAGGTGTCCCTCAGCACCACCGAGTCTGCACTGGCTCTCAACAGGTACATATGTTCGGCTGTGCTCCCACTCCTTACTAGATGCGCCCCTCTCTTTTCTGGGACAGAGCACTGCACCTCTCTGATTGATTCTACACTGCAGACAATATACAGGCTTTCCAAAGGACGGTCCCTCACCAAGGCACAGAGGGACACCATAGAAGAATGTTTGCTTGCCATTTGCAAGTAAGTGTGCCCTCCTTTACTTTTGACTTGTGCATATGTATCCACAGCTATACGGTACATAATACAGTAATGCATTGTGAGACTGGTTATAAAGTCTGAGGAGAGAAGCTCCCAGACCGTCATCAGGTACCTCCCCCCGCCATCTCTCCTAAAATGTCACTGACCTGTATTGTCACACAATCTTCTTTGAAATCTTCTCTCATCATGGGGAAGAGGAGGACACTGCTCAGGATTTACCCACTGGGGTGAAAAACCAGGGAAACCGATTTTGTCTTTTGTGCCTGAAATATTTCTATAATGAACTAATTGTCTAGTTCTGAAGAACTACCCAGAAAGATTTCTCCACCGTCTAAGAGAGAACAAGAAAGAAATTTTTCACAGAAATCAAACTCTATCTGTAAATCAGAACATTTCACCTCCAGGCCTCCCAAGACTGGAGCAAAATAATCTGGTCACGGTGGGGAATAAAAACAGCTTTTGTCCATGTAAGCAGGCATCAAAGCCGACAAAGAACACTGGGCATCTGCATCCAGTCTAGATGGATGAAGGATGAGGTCTTTTCAGCAACTGGTCTCACACAACAGTCTAGGATTCCAACCTGCTGCTGCAATCTAGTAGTTTCTCGGCTGTGTGTTAGAGTCACTTTGTGGGATCCTAGATGGATTTCCCAGTTCCCAGACCATATCCCAGCCCCAGGATTCAAACTCCTGTGGGATAGAATCCAGGATTCTAGCACTGAAGCTCCTTGAGAAATTGATTCTTTGAATGATCCCCAGTTGTGATTGAGACGCGCTTGTGAAATGGTCAGCAGGTTCCCATTTTAGACGCCACAGGGACATGGTTCCCCATTGTTCTTGGTGGCCCGTGTCCCAGTCACATGCATTAGAAGGCTCATGATGACTAGAGGAAGATTCATCAGAATTGTTCCTCATTCAAACATTAGCTAAAATCTCGTCTGTCTGCTATTGTGACTTACCTTAGACTCTGCGTTGATGACGAAACAGACGCTGAAGATGTGGGGCAGACAGGACTCTCATGGACTGTTAATGGGGATGCAAAACAGTGCATCTACTTTTTCTACATTGCAGTTCCTCACAAAGTCGGAAAACTCTTACTGTAATTTCAATAATCATAATCCTTGTGTTTACTCAAATTATTTGACAGTTCACATCATATATCATGTTACTCATTATATATAATATATATACATTTTATAAAAACTTGATTTTTATTTGTATTAGTCATCTTTAACAAAGTTTTAAACAGCATTAAATAAGTCAATGGATAACAAGCTGTGTAAGTCCAGGAAATGGAATATTACTCGGTACTAAAAAGAACAATCAAACCATAAAAATAGTCAGCCATGATCAACAAGTGGCCAATACCTTTGAAGGGAAACCTCTGTGTTACTGAGACAATCAATGCTGGTTAGCTAGAGCTAAGAAATTAGTAGTGATTGAGAAGAGACCAGCATTGCTGAGGTGAAATCTTCTGCAAAGTGTTTTCTGAGAGCCAACACGCAGAAGCTATGTTCCAGAGGTGGTCAAGGTTGTACCTCATGCTGGAAGCAGAACTTGGTAATGTGAGCCTCACCGAGGTAGTACTAGTTTCGAAGGCATGAAGGGGTCTTGGATAGCATCTGAGGCTTGACACCAGGAGAGGCCATTGGTAAAGGTGCAGCCTCAGTAGCAGTTAAAGGCCCAGGGTTGAAGGAGCCTTGCAGAGAAATGGAGACTTGACACTATGAAGGAAACCTATGAAGGGCTACTGGTAAATGTGCAGCCCAGCTGCAGCGGAACACCCCAGCATTTTGGAGGTGCCAGTACCATGAGAGTACAACCAAGAACAGCAGCAGTGGGTAGGGGAGCCTCCCTGAGCTTAGAAGACAGGCTGTGCATGCTGCAGGGGCAGAGCTGTGGAAGTCACCCAAGGGTGTTGGATGACCCCAGGAGACTATGAGCGTATTCTGATGCTGAACATTGTGTTGTTTACTCGGTTGGAATTTGGCTTGGTTTTGATTCGATTGTGACTGTGCCCTGGTTATTCCTTCTTGAAGTAAGAAGGTATTTAATTTAATTTAATTTAATTTAATTTTTTACAGGAACCCACGGTTGAAAGAAAGACACTGAACTTTTAAAAGAGATTTGGTATTTTTAGAGAGGAGATCGGATATTTTTTTAAAAACTGAAATTTTAATGTGTTTGAATTTGTAAAGACTGGTATTTTAAAATTTTGATTTTAATGTGAGATCTTGGGAACCAATAAGGAAGGAAGAATTGTTGCTTAATAGTGATGTGTTTGTGTGTCAAGTTGACAAGGGGTCAATTGTGCTGGCTAGTTTTGTCTAAACTTGACAGAAACTAGAGTTATCTAAAAGGAAGAAGCCTTGGGTTAGAAAAACGCCTCCGTAAGATCCAACCGCAAGGCATTTTCTTAATTGGTGATTGATTGTAGAGGGCCTAGCCCATTGTGCTGGTCCTGGGTTCTTTAGGAGAGCAGACCAAGCAAGTCATGGGAAACAAGCCACTAAGTAGCTCCTCTCCATGGCTTCTGCATCAGCGCCTACCTACAGGTTCCCACCCTGTTTGAGCTCCTATCCTGACTTTGATGACGATCAGCAGTATAGAAGTACAATCCAAATAATCCCTTTCTCCCGACTTGCTTTTTGTTCATGGTCTTTCATTGCAGCAATAGAAACCCTTACTAAGACAATACACAGACTACTTCACTCATTCCAAGGCTGCTATCACTGGTAGAAAATGAAGCTCAATAGGGGGCTGGTGGTCTTGCAGGATAGACAAAGCTTTGTAGACACACTCATCCACTAAGGGTTACAGAGATGCGGGTTTTCTCTTTCACCACCTGAAAAGGAAGATTGCTGATCTCATTTCTTACTGATGTAAGTCTCCACATCCCTTCTCAGTAGAGGCAATGGAACTAAGTGTTAGCTTTCCTTAAGAACAACTCCTCTCTGTCAGCGTCCATGCTGTGCCTGTGTGAAGAGCTAAGCTGTCCTTGGTCTGGCTTTGGCTGAACTTGAACTCAGAATAGATCCACATCAAGAAGGGAGCCCGGTGTCTTTTTTTTAAATATTTATTTATTATGTATACAATATTCTGTCTGTGTGCATGTCTGCAGGCCAGAAGAGGGCACCAGACCTCTTTACAGATGGTTGTGAGCCACCATGTGGTTGTCGGGAATTGAACTCAGGACCTTTGGAAGAGCAGGCAATGCTCTTAACCACTGAGCCATTTCTCCAGCCCCAGGAGCCCTGGTGTCTTGGCCTTAGCTCTTTCCAAATAGAAAAGCCAGGTTCTTTGGCAACTAGAAATAAGCTTCAAAGAAACCAGAGTTTGGGGAAAGTTGAAGTTCACGTTGACCCTCAAATAAGCTCCCCATTCTGTCTCTGTAGTTCTTGGGGCAATGCTCTCCTCTTCTGCCAACCTGAGATCAGCCGACTGATCATAACTAGGCATTTTATTATTCATTTATAAAACATCAGCATCTTGGTTAGGGTTCTATTGCTGTGCTGTAACACCATGACCATAAAGCAAGTTAGGGAGGGAAGGGTTTATTTGGCTTACTACTCTTCAGTGTTGAAGGAAGATGGGACAAGAACTCACACAGGGCAGGAACCTGGAGGCAGGAGCTGATACAGAGGATCTGGAGGGGTGCTGCTTACTGGCTTGCTCCTTAGGCTTGCTCAGCCTGCTCTCCTATAGAACTTAGGACCACAACCCAAGGGTGGCCCCACCCCAAAATTCCACACAGGTTTGCCTGCTGCCCTATTTTATGAAGGCATTTTCTCAGTTGAGCCCCCTTCCCTAGGTGACTTCAGATTGTGTCAAACTGGCATTAAAACTAGCTAAGACAGTTAGACAACAATGGAGTCACAGATTTATTGGACAACAGTTGCTAATTATCTGAACAGTAATAAGAAACACTGAGTCAATTTTAAGTCGTAATTAGTAGATTCAGTGATAGGGCTGCTACTTTGGGGCTGGGTTTTGATTAGCCTTTCTCATCCCAGGGCTTTTTATCACAAGGCTGGTTCTGGGAAAGGATGTGAAATAGATAGGTTTTGTCTCTCTCAACCGGCATGCATCCTCCTTGCTGAAGGGTCTTTGACAAATTATCTATTAAGTCTCCTTTACCCACTGATCTTGCCTCTAAAGCTCCTTAGGTAGCAATGAAAGCAATCTGGGGACTCATGAACTGAAATTTTATAGCAAATTCATGTGTGTGTGTGTGTGTTTATGTATGTGTGTATATGTGTGTGGATGTGTATGTCTATGTGTGTATGCATTGTGTCTGTGTGTATGTATGTGTATATGTGTATTTATTTGTGTGTATGAGGTATTATGTGTGTATGGTATGTGTGTGTGCTTGCGTGTGCGGTGTGTTCATGCTCTGGAGAAAATCCACAGGTCCCTCTGGACTTTAGTTTGGCATCTGAAGCTAAAAAGTTAACCTCCCCTATCTCTCCTTTCTCTATCTCAGAATTTATTTACACCATATACCACAGTCATGAACTCTGTAATTTGATAAGTCTTTCCTTAATGTATAGTTACTGTGTTTGCCATTTACACAGTTGTCCTGAAAAATAAACGCCCTACAAAATAGTTCCAATTGTGTGAAATTCCTGATCAGATTGTAACCAGGGAGACATTAGGGCTGCCTTCAGACGGTACCAGTAGGTGGCCTCAGAGCCCACCTCTGCTGCTGATCAGTTTATCTTCTTCCTTTACAGCATCACAGTGAAACCCTGTCTTAGACGAGAGAAGATCCTTAGTTCTTAGAAGTCCTTAGAGATGGCTATGAAGCCAGCTACGTCTTCTTTCTGTTATGTGCTTTGCACGTGATCACTGAATACATTTTCAACGCATACGGCCCCCAGAACAAGCTGACTCCTGGTAGCTGGAATTGACTCTTAACATCCCAGTTCATTAGCACATGTCCCTTTTTTATATTTTAGCCATATTCCATTTTTAAACGGAAGGCTTTACCATCCACTATCATTTACTCAGGATCTGTGTTAAGACACTCTTTGTTTTGATACTTAACCCTAATGTATGCCTCTTTTTAAATTTTATATTTTATTGGTGTGTGTGTGTGTGTGTGTGTGTGTGTGTGTGTGTCCTTGTGCTACAAGGCACATGTAGAGATCCGAGAACCGCTTTCTTGAATTGATTATCTCCTTCCACTCTGGGATAGGGAGACGATCAAATTCAGGTTTGTGCACCAACCGACCAAGTGCCCTTACCCACTAAGCCCTCTTGCTGACCCTAATGTATGCTTCTTTCATTCTTTCTTCTTGCCCTTTCATTTTTCTGAACTTCCTCTTTTCATTGTTTGGTATTTACTTCGTCCCATCTTCCTGCTTTCTCTCTCTGAATCACAGTCACTTGAGACCTTCCATGTTACAGCAACTCCTACGACGTCTGGTTTTTGATGTGCCGCTGCTCAGCGAGTACTGCAAAATGCCTCTTAAGGTAAGCATCACCATCACTGCAGAAGTGCATGCAGTCAGTGGTGCAAGAGTTGATGTGCTGGGGCTGCACAGAGATGATGTGCTGGGCCTGCATAGAAATGATGTGTACAGAGTCTCCACAGAGATGATGTACACAGTCTACAGAGATGATGTGCACAGAGTCTACAGAGATGGTGTGCACAGAGTCTATAGAGATGGTGTGCACAGAGTCTACACAGAGATGATGTGCAGAGTCTGCACAGAGATGATGTGCACAGAGCCAACACAATCAGAGAAACAACGCACATGTTGGATTTTGACAGCTCCACAAGATGCAATGCCCAAATCCAATCTGCATTTTGAATCTTCAACTTCAAAAGCCCAAGCTTGTAGCTGTTACCTGCTGTGGTTCTTTTGAGTTGCCTTCCACTCTTGACTTTTAATCAGAGTTTGCTAAGGAGACTCGGATTTGGGCCTTTCTTATCCTAACTAGGGTTTTAGAATATTTTTAACCTCAAAAAGCTTTGAAAGCCCTGTGGTTTTTTTTCTTTTTTAAAAAAAAATATTACTTATTATTTTGTGTGTGCTGGTGTTTTGCCTACATGTATGGCTGGGCAATACCTGCATGTGGTATCAACAGAGGCCAGGAGAGGGTGTCAGGATCCCTGGGACTGGAGTTATAAATGGTTGTGAGCCTCTGTATATGCCAGGAATCAAACCAGTGCTCTTAACCACTGAGCCATTGTTCCAGCCCTCTCTGTGGTCTTTCAAAGGACCTAAAATGTCCCTTTCCACCTACCTTGTTTTGTGTTCCCCCTGCAACAGATGCTCTTTATTTCTTTTCTCTAATTGTTAGTAAAAAGAACACAGAACTTTCTGTTTATTTTCTCATTGCTATGACTTCTCTATTATAGCCCCAGACCACCTAGCCCTGGATGGTGCCAGAGTTAGTAGCCACTCCAGAGGGAAGCCTTTCAATTTCCTGCTGGGGCTTCTACCTTACTTCTAAATCCAAACTGTGTCAGCAGAGATGAGTGACAATCTCTCTCTCTCTCTCTCTCTCTCTCTCTCTCTCTCTCTCTCTCTCTCTCTCTCTTTCTCTCTCTCAATCTCGTTCAAGCAGGGCTTTGAGGGAATGTTTTATTGGAGTAAGCAGAACTCTCAGAAGCCTTTGGTTCAGTACCAAAACCAGCAGGAAGCTTCACACAATCACAGAGGGTCTCAGTCCTTCCGAGACTGTTTTCCTTCTAACTTTAACAGTTCCAGGTCTTAATCTCAAAGGGTACTGTTGTCTGCACTCCTTAACTTGGCTCTGGTGCTTCTACAGACCACTGCTCTCTGCTAAGAGGCATTGCTGGTGCCACTCAGTCCATTCACGTTCACATCTCATGTCAATGGCGCACCACACACACACACACACACACACACACACACACACACACACACACACCCCTGCACCCCCACACACACCCCCACTCCCTGCAGATGTGGCTCCTACCTGCTGGGAAGGGGTGTTACTAGTGCCCTCTTCTGGCCAGATATGGAACTGCTATCACATTGAACAGTACAAAGGCCAGGGGGACCAGGAAGCACAGACGTTAATCTTCAGACCCACAATTTTCTGTCCACCGCCCCCTCCCCATATCAGCATGCCCCAGGATATTCCAGAGCCATATGAAATTATTCGCACATGCCTTTTGAAGGGTAGTATTTTCTCATTGAAAACAGAACTGACTCCTCTCCATTTTTCAGTAACTACTTGGAGCAGATCAGGAGGCAGGAGGATTAGTCAGGCAGATGCAGCTCAGGCTAGAGTTCATCCGATGTGAGAGCTGGGGCATATGAAACCTCTTGGTTGACATCCCAGCTCCTTCAAACACTGGTTTTCTCCTCATGGTTTCTTTGTGCTGTTTTCTTCTCTCTGGATGTCTCCGATGCCTACGGATGTGCTGGACTCCATGTGACCGGTGCCCCCCCCCTCCCCGTGTTCTGAAACTCGCAGCTTCTGACCAATCACTATGAGCAGTGCTGGAAGTATTACTGCCTGCCTTCGGGATGGGGGAGCTATGGGCTAGCCGTGGAGGAGGAACTGCACCTCACTGAGAAGCTCTTCTGGGGGATTTTTGACTCCCTCTCCCACAAGGTAATGGCTAAAAACCATTATTAAAAATAATGACCCTGGTGACCCTGGTGACCCTGGTGACCCAGCAGACAGAACTTACACCAGTTTGGCTTCACTGTTTTCTATGAACTGTACTTAGGATCTCGGGAGCATTTTATATTAATCCTTTAAACTGCTACCTACCTCCTATCCTCTCATACACACCCCCCAAAAAAATCATGCTTCAGAATAGGAACTACCTAATGCTCAGAGTAGTCAAATAGCTTGCCAGACCCACTGAGCTAACACACAGGAGAGCAGCCACCAGAGCAAATTCCAAAAGCACTTTCTGCCTCCAGTTTTGAGTACTTATACCTCTCGTTCTTTCTCTCCATGAAGTGTGACAGCCTGGTCCCATTTTTCTATATACTCTACTCCTGACAGTGAAGGCGACCAGCTGCCTCCCCCTAATCCTCCAACATGCTGATCTCTTCCTTAAGTTCCCTTGGTCTGGGATGTTTGTCACAGCAACGAGTAAAATATTAATGTGAATCTCTCTCCGCCACTGTGGAGTTTAGATGTTCTTCACAGTCCCCTCTCCAGCCATTGGTTGGGCCTTTTCCCATAACTATTCTTAGCAGGGAAGTTTATAGCCCTTTCTAGCCTAGTGAAAACCATCTTAATCTTTAGACATCCTTGACATGTATTTGGAATGACATTGAATGAAACCTTTAATCTTTTTCAATTGAAAGTGAATGGTGACTTGGGGGCTTTCCAGATTACCATTCCATCCTCCAAGAACACTTTAGTTTATGTAGAAAGTACTGAAGATCAACCTGGACAAACACATCGCTTGTATCTGCACTTCTGTTGGTGAGCGAATGGTCCTATATGATGGCCATGGCTCTGGTTTGTCTATTGGAGTGTTTTCTGTTTCCCCTCACAGAAATATGACCTGGATCTTTTCCGAATGGCCCTGCCGTGTCTCAGTGCGATTGCTGGGGCCTTGCCACCAGACTATTTAGATACAAGAATCACAGCCACATTGGAGAAACAGGTCTCAGTGGATGCAGATGGGAACTTTGACCCGAAACCTATTAACACCATGAAGTAAGTTCAGAGCCACTTCTAACTTGTTCCTATATTTTATATAATAGTTGATACCTTTCAGACTATAATAGAAACTTTAACCTTTCCCTTTCCCTTCTGCTTATCATCTCCTTTAACACTACAAGTCACACCAGGCATAAGTTTAATCCATCTAGTTCTGAATATATATATTATATACATCTATTCTAATTTTATATATTGCTCATATTCCAGGCTTTTTGGAGGGGTTGATTTAATATATGAAATAAACTCATTTACAAGAATAAATGTTGTCTGAGGCATGAAGAGGCCCACCCTGATAAATGATATGATTGATTTATTAATGAGTTTTTGACCAAGGTCTTTGCTTTGTGTAAATTAGGCCTATGCAGATATAATAACATCAAAAACAACCTCATGGTAACGGAAGAACTTTAGCAAGTCCTCGGGGTGACAGCCAAATACTTGAGGTCCTTCGAGAGGCTGGATCTGCTCTTTGCCATACTTAAAATACTAGCTCTTTGGAGTCACGCTATAGCAATGTCTTATAATTTCTTCCCATGAGTATCCAAAATCCTTTACCAGTGCTCAGCAGACCAGCAGATGCTCTTATCCAACTTCTTATTCCAGTGTGTTTAGCCTTAAGGCAAAATATTGCTGTGTTAAATTTTCAAGCATCCTCCCCAGTCCTGAGTATATATGTAGGGGCAACTGACTTCACCCCTGGGTTGTGTTTGGTGACAGTGGCTCTCAATAGGAGCCTAAGTCCTTCCTAGGACGGTCAGCTCTGCTAGGCTAGAAAATTCGTCATTGAGATAATGAAGTGCACATTCCATTGGATAAAGCCTTGAGTGAGGGGATGGTGAGAAACAGAATCGAACTTCCTACAAGAAAGAGATAAAGGATTTGGTAAAAATGGAAATCTTGGGCAAGAAAAGAAAACACATGCTGGTGTTAGAGAAGTTTGCCTTATAAAAATGTAAGCACATGAAAAGATGACAGAGCAAATGACGTGGTGAATGATGGTGTTACAAACATTATCAACACTACTCCACCAACTGTGTGCCAATGACGAGCGGCTCCGTAGTATTTGGAGTGCTCTTGTTGCTTCAGACACACCTTAGACTTCAGTAAATTGAGTAATGTGAGGACTAAAGACTGGGCCCATTCCTAAAAGCAAAGAGGCCTGATTACCAAGACGTGGGGCCATTACCAGACCCTAATAGAAAACTCTCAAGCTGGGGCTGGAGAAATGGCTCAGAGATTAAGAGCATTGCCTGCTCTTCCAAAGGTCCTGAGTTCAATTCCCAGCAACCACATGGTGGCTCACAACCATCTGTAATGGGGTCTGGGGCAGAGAATATTGTATACATCGTAAATAAATAAATAAATAAATAAATAAATAAATAAACTCTCAAGCCAGGCCACTCCAAGGACAATGACAGTCTCAGCTGTCTCCATTGGATGAGTCATCTTGAGCTTCTCGCTGCCCTTGTCTCATCGAATTCTAGGTTCAAGTTCCAGGGAGAATGAATTTGATCCATCTAGGCATATGCTGACCTTGGTGGCAGTGCACCTAACGTCATATGCAACACCAGAAGACCATAGAGACACAGGAAGATGAACAATGGCTGGGAACTGCTAGGCAAAGAGAAATGACAGGCATCTACTGTATTTCCAAAATTCTATTTGTAATGAGTCACTAGTTCAAAATAACAGATAACCAATATCTTGTAATCTGACTGTCTAGCTTCACAGTCTGTTGTTCTCAGACTGGAGTTAGAGGATGGCAAGATTCTCATTGACAGAGACCAGAACTGGCTTTGAAATCCACAGTGATACCTTAGGAGCCGGGAGGGCTCAGAGCATCCGGCGGAAGGCCATTTATGTGCAGATGTTTCTGCAGAGAGATCTTGTGATCAGACCTGGGTGTTGCCTGGAACACAACGCTGACCCACCACCACTGCTCAGCAGCATAGACTGTGTCTAAAGTAGCTTAAGCTATGAGGTTAGCTGTTAGCAAATCCTGCTAGTGACAGCAAATTGTTTCTTCTATCTGCCTTTTACAATATCAGGCTGAAACACTTACGGAGCCTATAATACCTTTTTCTCAATCCGCAGCTTTTCCTTGCCTGAAAAATTGGAATATATTGTCACCAAGTATGCCGAGCATTCTCATGACAAATGGGCCTGTGACAAGGTAGGGATTATCATCTGACTGACAGTTGGCAGGGGGGGGGGGGAAGCCCAAGAACATTATTGGGTCGGATCCTGGAAATCTGCCTGATTTATCTAAGTGACAGAGACTCCATGCCAAGAGCTTTCATTATTTCTGGGCAGCAATTTCCCTGGGTTGGTAGAGGTCAAAGACATAGGCGTTGGCAGCTGCTGGTGCTGCGTTTGTCGTGTTCAAGAAAACAAGCCATTCTGGGAGTGCCGATTGCTTCCTTATCGCTGTGTTGCCTGGAGTGTAGGCCCGAGCATGCACTTGCATGTTTAACATGAATGTTTCATCAGGGTGGGAAGCTTGTTATTTAATTTTTTTTTCTTTGAACTCAACATTGGAAAAGAACAACTAAAATTGAAAGCCTTACTCTTGTTTTTGCTTGGGAAGAGGAATTGTATTCCAGAAAGGCCACATGAGGGCCCTCCTTCGCTGGGCACCACTAGGACTTCTAGACACTTAGTCCATCTGTTGTTTGCAATTCCTCCCCATGTGAGGTCAGGATGCTTAATAAGTTTAATTGCTATGCCAAAACCACACAGGATTGGAGTGGGCAGGCAGTGAAGGGATGGGACCACTGCTCAGCTTACAGCTTGTAGCAGTGGGTGTATTTCAAAAGCAGGGTCATAGAATGTCATCTCCCTATGGTGAAGTCGCAGATGAGGGAAACCATGAGCCACCACCTCAGCTCGGTGTGGATCTGCGCTCAGCTCTCATCTTCTTGAGGGTTCCTACTTACACTACTGATAACAACCTGAACTTTGGAATAAGCTATACCTCATCATTGTAGACCAGGATGGGTAAGCCTCTTATGTATAAAGGCCATGACGATAACCAAATAATCAATCATGAAATGGAGAATGAACATTTGCAGCTTTGTGGATCAGACGTTGCCCATGGCAATGACTCATTTCCACTGTTATAGCATAAAAGTAGCCACAGACAAAACATTGACTTAACTGGAGGCTGCACTTTCATTTCCCAGCCACCCAGACTTGAATAATCACACAAAAACTATATTAATTACAACACTGTTTGGCCAACAGCTCAGGCATATTTCTAGCTAGCTCATACATCTTAAATTAACCCATTTCTATTTTTTTTTTATATTTTACCGTGCGGCTCATGGTTTGTTACCTCACATCTTGTTTTCTGAGCCGCTAAATGGAGTGTGCCTGAGTCTGCCTTCTTTCTTTCTGCATTCAGTTTAGTTTCCCCGCCTCGCTGTATTCTGCCTCACCATAGACCAAAGTAGCTTCTTTATTAACCAATGGTAATAAAACATATTCATAGCATTCAGAGAGGAATCCCACATCATCTGACAACAAAAAGGGGGCCTTGTGCCAATAAAACTTTATACAAGAAAAGAAAAGGTGGCCAATTGTACTTGCTTACCTTAGACTCTAGAGTCTAGAACACATGCATTTTCTCATTTCTTTCCAGCGTGGACATTTGTCCAAACCATGGGTTAGGGAGAGAAGTATCTATGAATCCACAGGCATAACTAATCCATCTTTAAATTGTGTATTTTATCTCTTCAACTCTTTATGAATTTGTACAGCTCTCCTCTTCTTCTTCTTCTTCTTCTTCTTCTTCTTCTTCTTCTTCTTCTTCTTCTTCTTCTTCTTCTTCTTCTTCTTCCTCCTCCTCCTCCTCCTCCTCCTCCTCCTCCTCCTCCTCCTTCTTCTTCTTCTTCTCTCTCTCTCTCTCTCTCTCTCTCTCTCTCTCTCTCTCTCTCTCTCTCTCCATGGTGTGAACAGTCCTAGCTGCCATCACCTTTGCCCCAGGCCACTATTAGCACCTGGCTGGCCTCCTCGTGTGCATTTTCTCTAGTCTTTTCTTCACATCAAGTAATGTTCCCAGTATGCATACCTGGTCACATGATATTAGTGCTCCTTCTGTCCAGCCCCCATTCCATCTTAAAATTCTTTAATAAGTTCTAATTCTTCTTAAAAATAAAGGTCAAAATTCCCACATGAACTAGTGGGCATCACCCTGCCTGCCTCTCGATGAGATCTCCCTTTTCTCTCTGCCCATCTGTCTCTTCCTGCACTTTCAGATCCTCTGTCACACACTCTTCATGTGCACAGAACACTTCCGTGACTGAGCAAGGTAGTCACCTGCCATCCCTACCTCATCCTGCAGGTGTCAATCTAAGCATTCATTCTGAGGCTGAGACTCACCCAGATTTCCTATATGCAAGTCATCTTAATGCCTTATTCTCCTCCTTCGTAGTATTCCTAAAGTCATTTATATATAAAAACATTAGCATAATTTATAACAGTTGCACTTTTGTATGTTTGACCCAATCATCAGTTATATATCTGCTAACATGTTATTTGATTATCATTTCTCCACGATGCCAGCATGAGGCTTCATGAAAGCAAGGATATATATATATATATACTTGCTCACCATTGTCCAGAGGTCCTGCCTGTAACTTCAACTTTGAGGGAATCCATCACCTTCTTCTGGCCTCTGAGGACACTGAACTCACATGTGCAAATACATAATTTAACATTTTTAAGTACCACTCTTCCTATGGGAGAAGTAGAATTACCCAGGTATGGTTTATGCAGTTCTATGTTTGGCATGAGCACAGGGTTAGAACATGTAGAGGTACCAAATCCCACAGTTGGTGTCCACAGATGCCATCTAGAGTGGTAACATTTACAGATGGCTAGGCATTCATTGCAGTCATTGCCAGGAAGTGGTGAGTTTATTGCTGGGTCAGCACAGGAAGACCAAGAGAGACCAGAGACAGTTTATTGGTTTGGGGAACCACGCAGCTAGAACATGAAGTAGGGCAGGGGGAGGAAGAGGAGAGATGAACATGGATAGATTTACAGATTTAGAAGCCATGTGAGAGTTTCCATTTTTCCCATGGTAGCAGGTAACAATCAGAAATCATAAGGAAATAGAGTTCTCTAGCAGGACGAGTTGGGTGAGTATCTCCTAACAGTAGTAGAAAATGAATCCATAAATACGTGGCAAGATTGGAGGCAAGGAGAATGCTTAGGAAGCTTTTGCAGCCACCAAGGTGAGCTCATACTATGAAGGAAACTGGAGAGAGGCGGGCAGAGGAGTGGGTCTAGGAGGCAGAGAGATGCGAGGTGAGCAGAGTCAGCAAGGACCCCCTGTTACAGGATTAGAAACTGGGTGGGTGCTCAAGAAGGGGCGAGCCCCTGGGGTAAAGGAACCCAAGAGAAGGAGGCATTGAAAGAAATAAGTGTCGGGTCCTCTTTAGCCTGGTAACACATCAGGCTGAGTTCATACTGTTTGGAAATTGGAAGTCAGCTCTGCTTCGAGATGCTGATCTGACATCAGTCATCAGTGGTAGCTGAAACCACAGACCTAGATTAGAGCACGCAGGAAGAATGTGCCTCTTGGGAAGGGAATCTTGGAAAGCATGCACTTTTGACAATTAGGTGGAGGCAGAGGTTGGGAACAGAATGAGTAGCTGGGAATATTTGGGATTGGATGCTAAGAAAGTCGGGGGCTCCTACTCAGCTCTACATCCATAGTGTTCCAGACTCCTCCAGAAGAAGGTACCCATTAGTGGTGCTTTTCTGTCTTGAGCTTCCATGACCCTGAAAAGCATGCACCCGCTGTGATCTTACCAAGCAGGCCCCTCTCGGTGGCTGGTGGTAGATCTGGTCCCCTCTGAGATCTGCCACTGATCTTGATGAGTTTGTCACACCGTCCTGATGCTCATGTTCTCAGGGTCTTTTGAAACAGCCTTCTAAGTGGCCCTAGAACTTACAAGCAAAACAGTGAAGAGGACAGCAGCTCGAACAAGAGAGACTGCAGGGGCAAAGGTCAGGATAGGGAAGGCACAGTCCTGACAGCCGGAAAGGGGCAGTTAGACATCTGTGAAGGGACTTTTTAATCTCTGTCATGATCCATTATGCTACTTGAGAAAACAGAAGCAGAGATCTGGGTCATCTAGCAGGCTCTTGGTTTGAACTGAGAACATTTCTACAGAGTCACAGTGGATGGAAATATGGAATTTCCCTGGATGAAAACGTGAAGACCCACCCACTGATACGGCCCTTCAAGACATTAACAGAGAAGGTAAGAAGCAGGATTTGTAACTGTGTGGCCTGCTGTGTCCTTCCTCGGGGATTGTATCAGACAGCCCATCCCTCTCACAGTCCTCAGCAGCTTCCATGAACTTCCCAAACCTCAACATCACATTCTGTTCTTTGGCTCTAAGAAACCACGTGTGAAAGGAGCTCTAGTTAGCGCTGGCAGATGGTCCAAAATGCACTTGTGTTTCTCCTCCAACCAAACAACTAGGAAGGGGTTTGTTAGAATATTATGCTGTTGAGACAGGATGAAGAAATTTTGAGAAAAAGATTTAAACAGAAGAGATTTCCACTACATGGAGGATGGTGAGAATGGAAAATCCCTATGGAAGCAGAAACAGCTCTCTTGTTCTTTCTTCCTTCCTTCCCTCCTTCCTTTTTAAATTAAGTAGTATGGTTCATCTCAACTCTGAATCCGAGCTTGCAATCCATAGGTGTTATTTGTAAGCTTAAGTGTGATGTCATATGTAAGGGATGACATATATATATATATATATATATATATATATATATATCTTTGACTGTTGACCATTCATAAAATTGGGCTGATATCAAAAGAATTCTAAGAAGTTATGTTTCCCAGGATCAAGGAAAAGCTCGGTGCAAATGCATTTTGACAGTGTCCCTCCATCTTAAACAGAAGACACAATGAGTCTTTTCCCTGGCCCTTCACTTCTTTATAAACTATAGGCAATGCCATTGATAATAGTGGTTCATTTCCCAACTTAAAAAATTCAACAACATCAGAAAAACTATATTATACACAAGATTCTGCAAATGACATTGTGAAGGGAGGGTGGGGCCAATTATCTTCTCTGTGTGCTGTGGGGAAACGGGTAAGGTGTGTTCTTCCCAGTTCTTTTGTGCGCACTTCCTCTAGGAGAAGGAAATTTATCGCTGGCCTGCCAGAGAATCCCTGAAAACCATGCTCGCTGTGGGCTGGACAGTGGAAAGGACCAGAGAAGGAGAAGCTTTGGTCCAACAAAGAGAGAATGAGAAACTTCGGTGTGTGTCGAATCAGGTCAACCAGGTACGAGTGCAGCACTTAGTAGGCAACACTTGGCGAATAGAAACCATTGCAGATCTAGGAAAGCACTCCCTGAGGTGTGGTGATGGGACCACCCAAGGTGAACAGTGGGGTTTGGGGCAGCCACGTGTTTGTGGAGGCGGATAACCTAGTAACTCTGCCTCTGCTCTCCTAGGGTAACAGCTACAGCCCAGCCCCGCTGGATCTCTCAAATGTTGTGCTGTCCAGGGAGCTCCAGGTCAGTGCCAACCCAGATGCAGAACATCGGTGCCTTCTAGATCTTTCCGGGACAGGGCATGTTACCCTCTGAAGAGTAAAAGAGAAAAGCAGAGAGTATACCTAGAACATATTATCACTAAGATATTAAACCCGAAGAGAGCTGTGTTGTGTCGAAGCTATGGGGGAAACACCAGAGAACTAGCCAGTCATCTAAGAAGGGACTTCTTCCAAGAGTACCATAAACGGTAATGGGTAAAAGGAAGACTAGTTGGCAGGGTTCCCGTGTCAAACTCTCTTGGTTAGATATATCACCTGAAAGGAAATGCCTGTGTGCTCCTCATAAATCTCACAAGCCGTGAGGCCACCCTGCATGCCACAGCAGCTATGCTCAGTTTCCCCACAATTAAGCAGGAAAGGGATCACTGTTGAGCTCAGAGCTATAAAACCAATAGATGTAACTAAAAGTTTTGAGGTGCTTCTCTCGACTCCTCCTTTCCTGCATGTATCAGTGCCTGTGGCCTCTGTTCCAGCCTGAGAAAGAAGCCCAATGGCCAGCCCCTTGGATCTTAGAGGGAGTTTTTTTTCTAAAGAGCATCCTTTGCTCTAAGTCAGAGCTGTATACACCTTATAGAAACATTCATTCTGTTTGATAAACCTCAATGACAGCAGTTTCCAGCAAGGAGTGATTTTTTTCTTTCAGTTTGTTTAGGTAAAAGTTTCCTTAGATTCTTGACTTTGACCTGACTCCTCCTGCTCATTTGATGAGAAATATAACAGTAAGATAAATGAGGCGCTGGCAATGTGCGACTTTGGCTGGAAATGCGTGCTTCTCCTGGATGCACTCAACTGCCAGGATAATAAAAGTTGCAAGGGAAGGACAGAATCCAAAAATGCTTCCTGTGTATGGGATGATATAAAGCTAATGAGGGGTGTCGCGCAGAATAATTAGCGATGGTAGACCTCCAGCAGCAAGCAAGTAGCACTTGGTGGTGCTGTTCCGGAACCTGGAAGATAGAAAGTGGTTTTCCTTGCTTGGCTTCTCTCTAACTTGCATCTCTCGGGTTGGGGAACAGGGAATGGTGGAGGTGGTGGCTGAGAACTATCACAACATCTGGGCCAAGAAGAAGAAGCAGGAGCTGGAGAGCAAAGGTGAGCTCGTTCACAGCGCCCTATGGGGAAAGTGAGCCTGGGAGCGTGGCAGCTATGTTTTCCCAGGAGTACAAAGGAAGACAGTTTGTGCTTTTCTCTCACCTTATTCCAGGTGGTGGCAGTCACCCTCTCTTGGTACCCTATGACACCTTGACTGCCAAGGAAAAGTTCAGGGATCGAGAAAAGGCACAGGACCTGTTCAAATTCCTCCAGGTGAATGGCATTATAGTTTCTAGGTAAGTCTTCATCTTCCACGTGGTATTAATGGGGCAGGGGAGGGGATGTGAATTTGGCTTCAGGCTTGGGTATTCAATCACCCAACTCCAAAAATCATGACAGTAATGGCAGTGCTTGACACTCTTGGAAAGGGTGTAATGATTCCTTGCATATGCACTCATAAATGTTATGTTATAGGTCAAAGCCTTATCTTTGTATATTGGTCCAAGAGATGGGAGTTATAAATCACATTCATAATACACCCATGCAGCTTTAGAATTTAGCTTCTTTTAAAGAGAAACGAGAACTTGAAGCACAAGCAAAATAATGTTTGAAATGCTAGATGATTTTTTTTTAGATTTCTTCCCTCTCTCTTTTAGATATCTTGCTAATCCTTAATTCAAAACTGTATTTATACATTTTCAGCTGAGGATCTTTGTAAAATAGCCAGCAATTCTTCCGAACTTTGACATGACGGGTTTATATTTTGTTAAACTGCATAATAACAGCAAGCACAGCTAACAGAAGCAGCCTTTGAACCACAGGAATTGATTCTTCTGAAGCCGCAGTTCTTCTGGGGAGATGGAACACATCTCGATGTCTAAGTCATTTTATCACAAGCTGGGGAACATTCTCTATGCAGCTGCCTTGGACTGCGCACTCCTAAAGGGATGTGCTTACTCACTAACCAGATGTCTATGGCGAGCTATGTAGCATTGTGCTTGCCAGCTTCCTTGTAGGCAGGAAAGCAAAGGGGTGGGCCTGCTCTAATACACCCATTCCTCCTCAAAGAAGTGTTCGCCAAGCAAGTTATTTCTCTTTTTAATTTCCTAGAGATTTTTTTTTTGCTAGTTAGTGTTAAATAAATAAAAACTATACAAATATTTCTGTTGTAGCTCACAGAAAGACAATTACCAAATGTATTTGCCGTATTGTCGGGTAGGAAAGGTCATGCTGCAGGAGACAGCCTCTGGGGAAGCATTTGAGAAAGGCTCCCCGCCCCCCTTTAATCCTCCTTTTAACACTAAGATGAATGTGGGGTGTGATTTGCTGAGAAAATCCCTTGCTCACAGAAATGAAAAATTCCCCTTTACTGTAACCAAAGGAAGTCGAGGACATATAATTAGGGATAAATTAAATTCAGCAGTCCTGTTCTGGGTAGTTATCTGCCATATATGGGGTCCCATGGGAGCCCTAAGTGGGCCTGTGATAACGTGAGGCCCCATCACCAGGAGAAAGCCTTCTCTAACTTCACCCTTCCTATCTGCTGGCAAAAGTCTATTTTCAGTTGTTCAAGCCCAAAACCTTGACTAGTCTCTTTGTTCCCAAGTCACCTCGATCTTTAAGAAAATGTAATTGTTCTGCCTTTAAAACTTGTGCAGAATCTACCCACTTTTCACTGCCTTCATGCAATCTCAACATCATTACTGAGGTGGTTTCCCATGGTGCTCTCTGCTTTTTCCCATGCCCCCACCTACATCCAGTTTTAAATACAGCAGCCAGAGTGGTTGACCACAATGCCTTGTCGCCCCTCTCCGGAACTGCCAGTAGCAGTTCTCATTTCTCTCAGAGACAGCAAAGTTCTCACGAGTTCCTGCAAACGCCCTAAATGATTGGCTGCGCTTTGCATGTTCCTTTACCCCTTGGATACCTGCTATCTTCCATCCCACCCACCCTGACCACTCTGCCACACTCCTGCAACCCAGAATGCATGCTCCTGCCTCAAAACCTCTGCACCACCTGTTTCTTGGGAGAATGTTGGCCTACATATCCTTATAACTCACACTTCACCTCCATAAAGCCATTACTTCCATTCCCGTTTCCCTGTGATCCTAACCCTGATTACCATATTTTACATCATCGTCCACAAACCTTTATAACGACATTCCCTAGGTCTTTTCAGCCTGCTTTCCTTTTTCTTTTTTTTAACATAACATTGCTTTTAACATTCCACATAATTTATATTTTGCTGATGTTTATTTATAGCTAGCATCAGGTCAAGCCTATGAGGACTATTTGTTGTCTTCTCTGACTTATCTCCAGCTCAATAGACTTAGTAACAATTACAGAGATCTTTCTGAGAACTCTGCTGAGGAATCACCTTCACGAAAGTGTTGCATGCTCACATAGTCAGGTCCAAGTTCAAGAGTAAGTCAGTCAAATGATGAGGCATTCATTCCACTAAGCCAGAATAACTGCCAACTCGGAGAATTAAATTCAGCAATATGGGAAAGATGGGCAATACACCAAAGTCTCATATTTTTCTCTGCTACTCCTGGGGTTCATCTCTGTCCAATCTAGAGGTATGAAGGACATGGAGCTGGACGCCTCCTCCATGGAAAAGAGATTTGCCTATAAGTTTTTGAAGAAGATCCTGAAATATGTTGACTCTGCTCAAGAGTTTATTGCTCACTTGGGTAAGTAGAGCTGCAAACTGTCAGGAAAGAGCATTGCAATCCTTTAGAAAAAAATGACATAATTATGAATTAGCTTCTTGTGTCACCATTGCTCATGATTCATTGAGGCATATAATTTGGGTGGAAAACAATGGCTGAGATTTATTTCCTCCATACTAAAAAAACTTACTTAACTTTTTTAGTATGGAGGAAATAAAACTCCTTTACTTCTCTGCTGGATTTGACTGACTCTTTGGGTTTGTTTGCACCGCATCCTATTAACTTTCCCCATGCTGTTTGACTGTGGACATCACTGAAGCTCTTTCGGAAAAGGGTGTGGCGAGACAACTGTGAGAGAATTGATACGAGACATACCCGGCCAGCACAGTTACAAAATACTTTACAAGATGCTGTTTCATGAAAGCAGCTAAGCTTGCTGGTTGTCTTTTGAAAGCCTGCTCTGCTTCTCAAAATACCATGATTGTTCATTTGTTTGTTTGCTCTGACCAAATATTTTACCTCTCTCTTTGCAGAAGCCATTGTCAGCAGTGGGAAAACCGAAAAGTCTCCCCACGACCAGGAGATCAAATTCTTTGCCAAAGTAAGTGTTTCTTCTTTGCTCAAGATCTCTACGACTGGGGGTGTGGTTTAAAGGGGCCCATCAAGGAGATCTAACACTCTAAAAGCTTCAGTGGGATAGAGTTATATTCCTCTGTACAGAACAGACTCAGTGTGGGTAGGAGGTCTAAGAAAGTATGCAGGCTGCTCAGTTCCACACCATGGCCTCAGTACTCAGGATCCTCCCCCCTTGTTCTGCACCATTTGTGACAGCGTGCTTCGTGTTACTGTGGTCCAAACAAGCCCAACCTCATCATATCTGTAGCAAAGGGATGCAAAAAGGAAAGGGGAGGAGAGAGCAAGCCGCTGCTTTTCTGAAGTCCTAACCTAGTGGTGATGTAAGTGGGTCTTTTCAGCTTACTCTAGCAAAAAGGGAAACTGAGTAAGTATTCCCTGGCTCAGCGGCATATGTCTCACTAAAATCTGTTGCTGAAAAGAAATAGAGAATGCATTTGGGTACCAATGATCAATGTTGCCCACAGAAGCCTTCTCAGAGGACCCAAAGCCTTTCAGTGTCTGGGCTCTGTAAAAGCAGAGATAGACGTTTGAGATGAGGGCTCAGTTGTACCTTTTGATCCTTTGGCCAAGAAGGCAATCTGAGTTTCCCAGGTGTCCTCTTCAAATCAGATCATCAGCATGCAAATTTATTTGTGCCTTTAGTCAATGTCCTTTCCTGTCACATAACCTCAATACCTCTGGTTAGTAGATGATGATGATGATGATGATGATAATAATAATAATAATAATAATAATAATAATAATAATAATAATAATAATAATAATGCAAAGTGAGAGCCAGATAGAATTTCCTGGAACTTTCTACATCCAGTGTTGAGAGGCTTCTGCTTACTGAGAATGACATCTGTAAAAAGAACTGGCAGATAGACTTGGATCAGCGACCTTAAACGTGCTGTTTGATGGTTTCCAGGTTCTCCTCCCCCTGGTTGACCAGTACTTCACCAACCACCGCCTTTACTTCTTGTCATCTCCTCTGAAGCCACTTAGCAGCAGTGGGTATGCTTCCCATAAAGAGAAAGAAATGGTAGCCAGGTGAGTCCATGAAATCAGGAGAGGGCCACTATGCTAGTCAGCTTTGAGTTACTGTACCACAATGTCATTTATAAGTAAAGCTTAAAAGTTTATTTAGCTCAAAGTTCTGAAGTTTCATGTCCGGGGTGAGTAGACACCTTTCTTTGATTCCATGGTAGGGGGTCCAGATGGCAGTGATGGGGAGCTCACTCTTAGGCAAACTGCTCAGGTTCATGGCCAGAAGTCAAAAAGGACAGGATCCTAAGATCTCCCTAAGGGCATGTCCCATTGACCTAAAAACCTCCCACTCAGTTCCATCCTCCAACCATCCCTAGCCTCCAAGTACCCCAATAGCAAAACCCTAAAAACAGAGCTTCTAGTACATGGGCTCTAGGAGGATACTCGTTCAAACTGCCGTTCTCAGTGCTAATGTGGTTTATTTAAGACATCAACCACCTGGGGACTGAATCACAAATTCTTTGTAGAAATGGTGCATAGCCTGATGATTAGTAATTGATTACCATCCTGATTTGAAAATTTTTATATTTGTGTATACCTCGGTGATCTCAGGAACCAATAGAATCACACTGTTTGGGGTGTTCATAGGGACCTGGGAAATATGTAGATAGCCAGGTCAATTACCCTGAAATAATGTTGAGTAGAAGGCCACGATCCTTCTGAAGCTTGGGAAAATTAAACATGGAGCACTAAGGTATACACTGCTTTCTGTCGCTCCTTATCAAGTCTGCAAGATTAGAATTTTTAGAACTCCGATCTTACAAATCCCAGTGCAGCTAGTCTGAGATTTCAAAGCTAGAACTACATGATTCAGTCTAAATGTTTATTCGGACTTCTCAGTCTCAGAGCTGAAGGGGTGGCTCACTGGGTAAAGGCACTTGCTGCTCAAGCATGAGTGCCTGAGTTTGAGTCTCTGCATCCACGCAAAAAGCTGAGTGAGGCTGCATTAGACTTCTAAACAGCAAAGAAGTAAAGAAGGTAGTGAAGTCTGCACACAATCCCTCCACAGTGAACACGCACGGTGTACTGGATAAGAGCTCAGGTACTAACTGACTATCACACTCTTCGGGAATATATTCAGCTTGACGATTGGCCTAACATTTACTAAACACTCTGCATGGACAGGCACTGAGATTAATTTTCATACGCAAGAGTTATGAGCCAACTGAGTAAATATGGTTGTGAAACCTCACAGTGTGTTAAACTGAAAGTTCTGCCTGTGCTGCACGGTCTCCATTTCACAAAGCAAGAATCTGAGGTGCCCTTAGCTTCACTCCAGTACCCAAAGTGTTACAGATGGTTAAGACTGAAAACTCACAACACTGCATGCCTCTTACGTGTACGGCAATCACTTAGTGCCACTCCAGACAGAAGAAATCCCATGCTGCCAAAACAGGATGCTTTGGAACCAGGTATCGGTTCCAAGATCTTATACCTTTACATTGAACTCATGTGTTCTTTAAGAAGCTAGGGAAATGAGAGGCCACGTGAGACATTCAGCTAATCCAACAGAGGGCAGATGCGTCTGTTTTCTTCATCTGTTGATCTTAGACTATTAATTCATGGAAATGTAACATTTGTTCAACCAGGCACCTTTTGTCGTGGCTGGAATACAACCTGGAGCTGATCAGCCTTGCAAATGCTTTCCAAATCTCCCGCAGGAGCGGTTGTGTTTGCGCAGCACGTGTTCCCCCGCCCGGCTCCTTTCCCTCTTTTCTCTTACTCTCCCCCTCTCGCTTTGGTTTTTGTTTATTTGTTTCACCCTAGCAGACTCTTTTCTTCTTTCATTCCTTCTTTTCTTTTACTCTTTTTTTCCCTCTGGTTTTTGTTTATCTGTTTGGGGACAGGGTCACAATACGTAGCCCTGATTGGCCTAGAGTTCACTATGTAAGTCAGGCAGGCTTCCAGAAATCTGCCTGTTTCTGCAAAATGCTGGGATTAAAGGTTTCTCTCTCTCCTCTCTCTCTCTCTCTCTCTCTCTCTCTCTCTCTCTCTCTCTCTCTCTCTCTCTCTCTTAAAGACAGGACCTCCTTAGCCCAGCCCAGGCTTCTCTAAAGCTACCAATTCTCTTGCCTCAGCCTCTGATACCCACTAGATCCCCCTTATTGAATCTTTCATTTTTGATCCACCTTGTCATTAATCTGATGTCTTTCATAGCATGGAGTTTCTCTTTTTTGAATAATTTCATTTTATATATTCATCTTTTTTCCTTTTGAGACAGGGGCTCACTCTATAGCCCTGGATGTCCTGGCTCTCAAAGGATTGTGCCACCGTGCCAGGCTTTATAGTTTTTAAACTCTCAGAAAGAAGATAGCCACCTGGGAACTGTAGCCCTTTATTATTTTGAACTAAAAGTAATTAATTGTCTTAACTGGGGTTTTTACTGCTGTGGTAAAAAACACCATGAACAAAACCAACTTGGCAAAGAAATAATTTATTCTATTCTACACTTCCAGGTAACAGTCTCTCACCCAGGGAAGTCAGGACAAAAACTCAAGGCAGGAACCTAGAAGCAGGAACTAAAGCAAAGGCCACAGAAGAATGCTGCTTTTGGCTTGCTCCTCATGGCTTGCTCAGCCTGCTTTCTTATACATTCAGGATCACCCACCCAGGAATGGCACCCACACATCATGCTTCCACGCCAATCATTAATCAAGAAAATGCCCTACAGAGTCACCTACAGCCCAATAATAGGGTCAATTCGTTCATTAAGATTCCCTCTTTCCAGACATGTTCCCGTTAGTGTCAAGTTGACAGAAACTAACCCTATGCAATAATTCTTTTATTTACATCACAGACTCTTAAGAGACAGCAACAACTCTTTGAAGTTTCAGGCACTAGTTTTTGCAAGTCTGAGAAAGCACCTTGACTTCTGACAGCGATGGGAGCCACCTCAGTATCCAATCCTAATAGCCCAACCATGGGCTTTAGGTAGAAAGAACATTTTCTTCCAATGCATACAAAATACGTGTTCATCCGTTTAAAGAGTTTTCAAATTTCTGAGTTGTTCTCCAACTTTTGTAGAAGAACTGCTTGATTACAGATGAGAAAAAAAACTAATACAGAGTGGAGAGCATTGAAGGATCTCTGCTAAGACAGCTCAGTTATTCACAGGCCAAGCACAGAACTGAGCCATCAGCAATACAGACTGCACTGTTCAATACTCTTTCTCCCTGTCCAGCTCCATGAGTTCACATCAAACAAGCACGAGCCCCTGTTTAATGTCACATTAGGTACCAGGTTTCTGCTAACGCACTGTGAGTTCTCCTAAACTCTTAGACCGGGGAGGTTCTGACTTATTTTTACTAATCAACAAGGCATTGATTGTAGTTTTTCAAACTAGCCCAGAAAAAAATGCAGGACATTAATTAACTAAGAGTTATTGTCCTTTAAATTGATGGGGTTTATCAACCAGCACTAGAGGCACATTTCTTCTCTGTTTGGATTGTCCTAAGGAGACTTCTGTCCTGTGTGAGTCAGAGATCTCCATGACAAGTTAGGAATTGAGGCTGTGATCAGCTGAGTCCCCTCAGGGAGCGTCTCAGCCTGAACCAGTGTCTCGTCTCTGTTTTCCCTGTCAGCCCTCTTTCTGTTCCCTGCTTCCTGAAAGAGAAGCAAAGTTCTTGTCGAGCCATGCCAGTATCAAACTCCCAAGAGTATCATCCACCTGTGTGGACTCTAGTCACAGTACCCCTGAGTGGGGTCACTTGTCAACATGGTCAGAGACATCTACAGGGCTTCTTCCTAACTGCACAAGGCCTTCCCAGCTACACCTGAAGTACAGTTCAAACTTCAAGGGTCTCCATGGTGCAAAGTATAAGTGAAGCATGGCAAGGAGTCAGAAATACAAACAACAGCAGCAGCAACAATATCAATAATAATAATAACAGTAACAATAATGATAATTGCTTCCTAGTTCCCAAAGACCCAATTAGGACAGACTATAGACCAACAAAGATGGCAGCAAAAAATGAACTTCTTTTTTTTTAACGTTTCTGATTCTTTATGGATTTCACCCCATGTATGCTGACCCCATTCATCTCCCCATCCCTTCACATCTGCCCTCTGCCCTTGCAACCTCCCAAAAACAAAATTTAAAAGTAACCCCCCAAAAAAAACAAAACAAATAAAAGAATCTTGGCATGGAAACTGGAATATGGCCCAGCTAGTCACACCGTGTACCCTTTAGTCTTTACTTGTAAGTGTGCATTGCAATGGGTCATTGGTTTGATTCGAGGCCTCTGGCTTCTCCTACACAATCAATGCTGGGTCCTCACTGGGAGTCCCCCTGGATATCCTATTATCCCCTGTATCATGAAGACCCCATAGCTCTGAAAACTGTATTTTTAAAGTGTTTTTTGTATTTAACAGACTCCTACTCCCTACTCTAGTCATTTAAACATTTGTTCTAATCCCAACATTTTTTCCCACTTTCCAACTCGAGCTTCACACTCCACATAAAGACCGCAAAATGGTTTATAGTTCATGACAATGGCAGAAAGTCAAGCTCCCTTTTAGTACCCTCGTCGCTTTTTCTCCATGTTACACATGAATGGACATTTCAATACATGGTACCTAGCACCAAGGAAAGATTACACAGGGCCATTGCCAAATAAACACTCTTCTCATTACCGAAGGATGGTTTTCGAGTAGGATGGAGCTGCCGGCAAGTAACCTTTCATGATTCTCCAAGACAGTGCAACCCATAACATCTCCCTAAGTGCCGTTCCAAAGACTCTTCTAGAGGACACAGTGCTTCCCCCCAAAGCCCCAAACTATGCACTGTTTCACACGTGAGGGTAAGGAAGAATGGGGTAGAAATCACTTCCTGAGTCTCCACGGCTTTCTGAATTGCACCTTTTCTGCCTTAGCCTGTTCTGCAAGCTGGCCGCTCTCGTGAGACACAGGATCTCTCTCTTCGGTAAGTGATGAGATGAGTTGCTAAAGGCGGCAAGTCTTCCTGTAATTATCTTGAGCTTCCGTTCTGCCTTCATTTGTGGCTCTCCATTAGGAAAACCTACACCTTGGGACTGAGGTGTCACCTAAATTCTCCACAGAAAATTGGTCTGAAGCATGATTAATGACCTCTCTCCCCCTTTAACAGCTCAGATTTTCCACCCCAATGAATGTTTTCAGCTCTGCCTGTGACATCCATCATGAGGCAGAGGCTGTGTCAGACTAGAGATAAATGCCTCATTCCTGAACACAGACCTGGCACCTTGTGTGTTGCTGGTTAATTACACCGGGCTGTGCCTGATGCATACTAAGAAGGATGTGTTTAAAAGCCGGGCTGGGTTTAGAGAGTCACCGGCGATGTTTTCTGTTCTAGGGAGTGATTCAACTACGATGGTGAGCTGCCTTCACATCTTAGCTCAGACGCTTGACACAAGGTAAGTCTGATGTTTTCTCTGCAGTACTTCCTTTTGACTCTCTCTCTCTGGCCCCCAAAATAGGCACAGCAGGCCTGAGAAGTCAACGCTCTGCTTCTCGTCCCCACAGTACAGATCTATTGTCATGGACTATCTGAAATCTGAAACAATTGATCAGTTCTTACCTTCCCTTACTGAGTTCATTTGTCAGGAGATAAGATATATAATGTTGCAACATTCAACTTGTGCCTAATTGTACACACACACACACACACACGCTTGCCCTCACACAGCAGAGATATCGGGTAGGTGATGAAACCCGCATCGTCATGAGAGATGATCAATATCATTTTGAGTTCAACATGGCCAGGAAAGTGTGGGGATATCTGACTTCAAAAGGATCATCTAGGAAGTCAGGGGAGGGGTCTAGGCTCTGATGTTCCAAGTTCACTCACTGTGATCCATGTGGTAGAAGGAGAAAATTGACTCCCAGAAATTGTCCTCTGGCCTACACATGTACATATGTATAAATTACATATGCATAAATAAATGAATAAATATACTTTACAAAATACATCAGCTAGCTGGTGAAGTAATTTATACTTGCAATCTTAGCATGTAGAAGACAGAGACAAAAAGATCCCAAGTTCAAACACAGCCTTGGATTTACAGTAAAACCCTGTTCAATAAAATAAGAGATGCAGAAAGAATAAATAAATAAATAAATAGGAATTTTATTTTAAAAATAATACCTAATTTTGGTAATATTAACATACATGATATTTTAAAAGAGAGGCTTAGTAAAAAGAACCAATAGAAGTTCTTTTGAACATATTCATTAAGAAAAGATCTTATTGCCAGGCAATGGTGACTCACACCTTTAATCCCAGCATTCAGGAGGCAGAGGCAGGAGAATCTCTGTCAGTTAGAGGTCAGCATGGTCTACAGAGCTAGTTCCAGGACAACTAGGACTGTTATAGAAAGAAACCCTGTCTCAAAAATAAAAAAAAAGAATTAATGAATGAATGAATGAATGAATCCACAGAAACAACTCATTCTTGAAGATCCCTAACATGGCACTGACTCCAGCTTCGAGCTGGTGTACCAGCAATGCCTCAGATGCTGCAAGACCTTCCTGGAGAAGACTCACTAGATGATCCTGCCCACCTCCGTTGAGCCACTCATCCACCAGTGTAACCCGAATAATAAAAACTCAGAGATAGAAACTGGTATTCAACCTAAAAACCAGAAAAACCAAGCCACTAGAGAAGTCTTACCTCTACCAAGGCTGGGTTACCATAAACTAAGCAGACAAAACTTCTCTCTCCTCCCATTTTATACTCCCTCTAGTGCTGAGATTAAAGGCCTGTGACTCCCTAGGACTTTGATTAAAGGTGTGAGCCACTACCATGTGGATTTGTTTCCACATTGATCTTGAGCAGCCCAGGGTGGCCTTGAACTCAATGTCTCTGTCACCCAAATCCTGGGATTAAAGGTGTGTGTCATCACTGTCTGACCTTTAGTGTCTTTAGATTTGCCTCTGGTCTTCAGGCAGGATTTATTTATCAAACTACAAATAATATATCACTACACACTAGAGCCATGCCCAAGGATGGTGGCATTCCTTAGCACCATGTTCCACCTATCCTTCCAAATGAGTTACTGTATATCTCTAAAAGAACTGAAGGTAGAAATTATGTTCAGAAATATAAAAATATTTGAGTAATACAGTTTGAGGTGTATCTAAGCATTTTAAACTAATTGAACCTCTCACCTTGTTCTAATGATAATAGAGTGGAACAAGCAAATAGGGAGAAAAATAGAACACAATGAAGTAAGAATGACCTACCAGGTCCAGGTCAGCCTTTGACCCAAGCAGCTTGGGTAGTCTGGTCTAACTAGAGTGTGTTCATGGCCAGCACCCACTGGTGCCATTTGCTTGCCTTGTACCTGTCTATCCAAGACTCTTGTGACAATAACTCCATCCATATCAGTCTTTCGCTTAACATTGGGAGAATTTAAACTCAAACACACTGAGGGCATTGAAATACTGAAAGAGAGGAGAAGCTGGAAGGGATAACGCAGGCCTGCAATTCCAGCAGGCCGTCCTGGGCTACACAGGGAAGATGGGAACAGCAATAGATTGGTAAAATTAGCATTTTACTCTTACTTTGGTTTTGTCTAGTGTTTTAAAGCTTTCTTTCTATGTGAGCCACTTTGCCTCTTTTAGAGAGAGAGAGAGAGAGAGAGAGAGAGAGAGAGAGAGAGAGAGAGAGAGAGAGACAGTCCCAGGGTGAAACAGTAGTATATTAGTAATGTTCTTTCACCATTTTAAAAAGTTAGAAGCAAGTGTAAGTAAGTTAGTGCATTTTCACACAAGTGACCTGAAATCCATAGGGTTATATATCAGAAAAGAATGTGAGTTCAACTAGGATGTAAACAAAAACAAGTGAAATAGAAATCTGGTGCCTGCCTGCTTTCCTATTGACAAATGAAATATGTACAGATTTGAAGAAGCCTCCCTGATGGCCTTCACTGTCCTGGTATGTCTGATATTACCTAGAAAACTTTGAAGATAAAGAGCATCTTCCCTTGAAGCGATGCTGTCATCATCTTGTGAGGATGTTGGAATGTGGAAGGTTGCACACTGCTTCTCGGTCGTATTCCAATTCTAAGTCTCATGATACGGTTCTGAGGGAAGACTTCAGCCGTTCTTAGCTTCTGTTCTCCAGGCGTGTTTCCCTGTCCTTTGCCTCAGTGACCTAATTAGGTTGGCTTTATAAAGGGCTGCCTTTCCGTTTCTCTCCTCTCATCCACTCTAGGACTGCTGTGCCGACTAAAAGGAGTGCAGCTTCAGGCAGCGTTTCTCCTCTCTTCCCCATTCTCCTTGCTTCTACATACTACTCCTAAAGGTTCTTTCTTGACCCCAAGTGAGCCATGGAAAGGGCTCACCCCTGTCCTTTCCTTAGATACTAACACAACACTAGGCAGCTGCAGCAATTAGCTCACGAGGAACTAATACCAGTTTCATTCGCTCTCTCTGTGTCCTGGAGAGTTCAGCAATGATCCCAAGACAGTCAGTCACTACTCCAGGGAACAGGTTTCTTTTCCAGATGCAGCTGACACATTCTCAAAAGGTGACCAGAGTACCCACTGTCTGCCCAGTTTGCCTCCACGACAACACCACATAAGGGAGTTGGGTCCACAGTGTGGTTGTGCTCCTGCCTTTGACTGCTGCTTACTTGCAGGACTGTCATGAAGTCGGGCTCAGAGCTGGTGAAAGCCGGGTTGCGCTCCTTCTTTGAAAATGCAGCAGAAGACTTAGAGAAGACCTCCGAAAACCTGAAGCTGGGGAAGTTTACCCATTCCAGAACGCAGATCAAAGGTGTTTCTCAGAATATTAACTACACCACAGTGGCCCTGCTTCCCATCCTGACATCCATCTTTGAGCACATTGCTCAGCATCAGTTTGGGGTGGATCTACTCTGTGAGTCCTACCGCTGTTTGTCATCAATGTCTATGCCCCGAAAGCACAGATGTGAGACCCACGCACTTGCGTTGACCTTGAGGGCAGAGTAGAAAGACAGGTGCGCCATATTTTACCTAAATTTAAAAAATGAAAGCCAAGTGGTAGACTCTGGGAAGGGGAAAAGCATCCCTTAATTGGAGTACAGAATACTCATCTTTCTCCGGTTTCACTCTGAACCAGTCTCCCAGCCTGCTCGTCTAGCTACTACCGGCGGTTGTGCTCCCATTTAATTGAAAAGGTTATCTGAGCAGTGCGCATCAGATAGACTTCCGCTACCAGACTTTCCAGACGCCGTGCTCCATGTGAAGAATCCTTAATTTACTTATTGTCACTAGCAGCAAAGGAAAGAGGCTAAAATCTCTTTTTTCCCTATTTTCAATTGGTTTTATTTTGCTTTGTATTTAGCAGTGAGTCCAGTCCCATCCCCCATGCCCACCACGTTCATATTCTGTCACCAAGCTTGAGGCCTGCTTAAACACTGCCATACGGTTTAACTGAGTCAGCTGTCGATAGCCCAGGCTGTCTCTCCCACCAGTTAGTCTCACTAGGGAGGCGTCTGTCCCATGCAAACAAGGCAGTTCCTTGGTCGGAAAATACAGCATTAAAATAGCTCTAGTTCTGTTGAAGTAGTCCTAGCCGTGGAATGAGGTCTAGATGTGTTTGGGGGCATGCATGATCACTGCTGATGAAATTCTTCCTATTTCCCCCAGAACCTCCTTCCTTTAGAAAATAAGGGAAAAATCACGGTACAATTTAGTGTGTGTGTGTTTTTTTTTAATACAGCAGAAATTTTTAAGTAAGCAAAACTGAGAACTCACTCTCTCTCCATCCCTCCCCCCCCACTCTCTCCCCTTCTCTTCTTCCATCCCTCACCTTCTGAATAAAGCATAACAGTTGTGTGGACCTTCTTAGGAAATGGCAAACATGACATGGAAACTTCAGTCCAAAAGAAGACTAGACTGCCCTTGGTAAAATTTGAATATAATGTCTTCCTTGATTGGAGAAGCAACCTCTTAAGGAGGCTCCATTGGCTCCATTGGCCAAGTGATTCTTTTCTCCAAGAAGTTTTGTGATCTTCCTCAGCAGCTCTGCAAATGACCTGGGCAACTGTGGTGGAGCACAGTTTCCTCTCAGTATTTCCCAGCAACTAGCAAAACAGTAGCCAGTTTGAAGATGATTTCACTAGTTGACCGAGGCAGGGAGAAGGGGAAGAGAGAGGGGTCGTCTGCTCTTGACTGATGCTTACCCTAATATTTTTCTTCATGGGCTTTTCCGTGTGTTGGAGACGGAGCTGGGGTTGACATGCGGCTATGACATCTCTTCTTTGTTCCAGTGGGTGACGTGCAGATTTCCTGCTACCACATTCTGTGCAGCCTCTATTCCCTCGGGACTGGGAAAAACATCTACGTTGAAAGGTAACTAGCTTTTGCTTGCTTGTTTTTTTTTCCCCTCCAAACATTTTGGCTCAGAAAAATATAATGGGGGGAGGGGCATTACCTTTGGCCTAAGCATGAGTTGAACAAGGATAGCAATAAACATGCTGATATGAACTTAGGATGGCCCAGGAATCCTCAGCCCTACCCAAAGAACTATAGGCAGCTAAGGAATGATAAGAAAGGAGAGCTAGTCTTCCCCTGGGAAGAGCACACCTATTATCGAATACCAAATGGTCAGCCCTAAAAACATATATCTGAATACCTTTATGCAGACTGAGAACTGAGAATTGTTATTTATCTTTGAGAACACACACACACACATAACAGCAATTAATATAAAAAAAAGAGTCCACAAATTTAAAAGAGGGCAAGGAGGGGCATATGGGCTTAGAGGGAAGAAAGAGCACATACAAATTTCCTATCAATAAATGATGAAGGCACATATAAAATTCCTATCAATAAAATATTACATTAAAATGTATTTCCCCACCCCTTACATTAAATTTTTTTAAAGCCCTTAACATCTGTTTTTCAGTCCAGCAAAATCTAAATATTCGCTGATCAGAAGTGGTAGCTTTACAGCTGAGTCACGCACATTCTGTAGCAATGTAAAGAAACATAATGAGGTTACTGAGATTGACAGCTTCTGCGGAGAAAGCTACTAAATATATATGGCTACAGAAACTGTAAAAATGCTGCAAAATCATGTGCTGGTAGTCAAAATAATAATAATAATAATAATGCTGAAGGCGCATCTACTTCATTATCACGGCTTCTGAGTAGCGCCCAGCGTTCCTGTGGTCACAGGTTGCTGAGACACTCGGGAAGCTAAGGCAGCTGCTTTAGTGTTAATGAGTCTCTGTGTGATACACCCGTGGACCTTTACCGTTCTCAGCTATCAGATTAGCTACGGTTTTAAACAGTGCACAGCTCGGCACCAGAAAAGCTATTTGATAATCTTGAATCTGAACAGGCTTGTTTGGAGAGATTTTAGGTTCTATTTGGCCTCTATCATTTGCCTGTGACAGTGGAAGCTTTAGAGACCGCTGGCTTTTCAGAGTCAGATGCCTTGTCTTGTGTTGTTCTATTTAAATCCCGGGGTAAAATCAGAATGATAAAATTTCAGGACTTAGCTTTATTCTGGAAGGACTGATTCCTTTTTCCCCTATCAAATAAACACACTGGAAGAATTTAATCTGTTTTTAAGTAATTTAATCTGAACACTCCTTGGGATCTACTTAGGATGAAGCTTGTATCAAACACCCTAAAATCTGACCCTCATTTCATAATGAAACTCATGTATCAAAATGGTGTCAGTTGCTGGGCAGTGGTGGTACGTGCACACCTTTAATCCCAGCACTCAGGAGGCAGAGGCAGGCGGATCTCTGTGAGTTCAAGGCCAGCCTGGTCTATAGAGTGAGTTCCAGGACGGGCTCCAAAGCTAACAGAGATACCCTGTCTGAAAAAAACAAAACAATAAAGCAAAATAAGAATTTGTCCCCTATAAGAACTTAAGAACTAAGCTAGTAGATTGAAATCTGGTTTAAGAAATGAATTGCAAACAAGTCTATTTCATCATAGCTACAGCTCCCAAAGATTTTCGGGGTTCAAGAACTTAGTTGAAAAACTAATGCTTAAATTTGCTCTGTGTTTATGTCCTTACATTTACCTGGCTTTCCATAAAATATGTCACACACACACACACACACACACGCACACACACGGACATATATATGTCAGTATAGAGATATGTGTGTGTGTGTGTGTGTGTGTGTGTGTGTGTGTGTGTGTGTGTGTGTGTTTTCAGACAGGGTTTCTCTGTGTAGTTCTCCTGGCTATCCAGGAACTCACTCTGTAGTCCAGGCTGGTCTCAACTCAATTGATTCAACTGCCTCTGCCTCCCAAATGCTGAAATTAAATGTGTGCTGCTACCTCCAGGCTTATTAAATCCCTGGAACTGGAATTACAGATGCTGTGAGCCACCAGGTGGTGGCTGAACTCAAACCCAAGTCCTCTGGAAGAACAGCCAGTGCTCTTAGGCACTTCACCATCTCTGCAGCCCTAAAATTAAAAATTTTAAACATGTATTTTTAACCAATAGAATCAATAAAATGATTTTCCTAATTAACACAGGGGAGATATCTCAATTAGAGAGAGAGAGAGAAAAAGAGAGAAAGAGACAGACAGACAGACAGAAAGAGACACAGAGAGAGAGTATGCACACCAAATAACCTTATATAATTTTTTGTACAGTTTCTACATTCTTCTTTTGAAAAAAAAAAAAAGTAAACCAAAGGTCAGTTCTGAAATGTCAGACCAGAGAGACTTGCTCCTCCGTGGCTTTTTGTACTTTATTCACATTTATTGCAGAATTATTGCTCAACTACAGAACTGGGAGTGTTAGCGTTTGCATTTTTTATTCTACATCTGCACAGGTCTAGCGAGCCAGGATTAGATTAAAGAGACTCAACCACCGAAAAGCTAGGGACTTAGAATCCTAGAAGTGCGCTGCTGGCGCAGCTAGTGGGTTTTGGCTGTCTATTTTTGTAGTTTTAATTGTGAACGGCATGCTAATTCACTAAACAAAAGACAGAAGTATGTTAAGTTAAAGTCTGCCGTATTCTTTACCCTGTGCAGTACCCCATCCAGGTCCCCTTTCCAAAGCCACTAGCCTCAGTTTGGTATGCACCAGTCTGAATAACTTCTCTGTGTATATATTTTCAGACATGTGATATCATAATATAAGGAGAGAGAGCTTTGCAGCTTTATCATATTGGATGAAACTTGATTTCTTTATCCTATAATTCATACTTGTAAAAATGTAATCATTTGGCATACTACATCCATTAAGTTTACACTTTAAAAGATGATGAAGTTGTAGACACTGAAATCCTGACCCGCTTCCTGTCCCATTTCCTATTTTGCTATAAAATTCATTGTAGTATTTATGTTTTTTTTCTAATGCTAACATTCCCGGACCTGTTCACTTTAATCTGAACCTAGGTCATTAGCACATCATCTACATTTTTTGAACCAATTCCCAGTTCTTAATTTTCTTGAATTTAGATTTATCTTTTGACAATCTGGAGTCGTCATGGGATAGCCACTTCCGTAAGAACACTGCAGTGTTCTGGAGTCTCCGTATACTTTATAACATCCATTCCGGGGCACACAGCCTTTGCCATCATCATTTTCTCTCAAAGGCATGTAGAAGACAAGTGCATTCACACATGACTTTACAGAAGACAGGAGGACACTGGTCATCCATAGGAGTCGTTAGATTAAAACCCATTCACTTCCCCATGGGGCATCCCAGGACCAGCCATTCTATTTAACCCTCTTCACATTACTCTTCATTTCAGGAAATTTTACTTTGTTTGGGAAATTATTTCTTTTTTGTGATTTGTGTTAGCCTTCTGTTACATAATATAATTCCAGAGATAAATACCTTAACTGCCTCAGAGTTGTGTTGATTTTAGTCCACAGTTGATTGGTCCCATTATTTTGACAATTGGTAAAGCAGTAATAATTAAGCATGGCAAGGAGCCACAATCCCACTCAAGGGTACAGCCGCAATGACTTAAATCCTCCCTTTGGCCCATTATTATTATTATAATTTTATTATTATTATTATTTGTTCTTCTCTCATACAATGCCTCCTGACCACAGTTTTCCCTCCCTCCTCTCCTCCCAGTACTCCTTCAATCCCCCTCTTTCCCAGATCCAGTCCTCCTGTTTTCCTTCAAAAAAGAGAAAGCCTCTGGGATATCAACTGAACACACTATAACAATTTACAATAAGACTAGGTACAGACCCTCTTATCAAGGCTGGATGAGGCAACCCAGTAGGGGGAGAAACAGGTCTCAAGAGTGGCAAAGGAGTCATAGACAACCCCCACTCCTACTGTTAAGAGTCCCACAAGAACATCAAGCTACACAACCATAACATATATACCAAAGAGCAAGCTCAGACCCATACAGGCTTCATGATTTGTGGCTTCAGTCTCTATGAGCCCTGATAAGCTGATTCTGTGAGCTGTGTTCCTCCATTGTCCTTGACTCCTCTGGCTACTACAATCCTTCCTCCCCCTCTTCTGTGGGGTTCTCTGAGCCCTACATAATGTTTGGCTATGGGTCTCTGCATCTACTCTCATCAGTTGCTGGATGAACTTTGATGATGATTGTGGCCCCGCCTCTTAAAACTTCTACTGCCTCCCAGTAGGTAAGGCCTGAGCCTCTAATTCATGAACTTTCTGAGAACATTTCAAATCTAAATTACAGCATAGTCAATGTGAGTTGTTTTCTATCTTTTGTTCTGGGAGAGTAATTCTGTGTAAGTTTGGCTTGTTTTTTAACCTATTGCACCTGGTTTTTTTTCTAGAAACTTCTAGCTGTTTATTCTTTTCTGTTTTGTATTTGTATGATTTTTTTCTAAAACTTCCTCTGTGTTTTTCTTTTCAATTTTCTTTGTTTTCTGTGAGTGTATAGAGAATATATATTCTGGGGGTTTATCTAAATAAATTTTTGTTTATGGTATTTTTTTTCTTGCTTTGGCAGTTAGGAATATTACTAACTCAAGAAGAGATATGCGTGTGCGTGTGTGTGTGTGTGTGTGTGTGTGTGTGTGTCAAAATAAAGGAGAGTGAACTGGGAAGAAACATGAGGCAGCTTCAAAGCTGCAAAGCCTGGTACAGGGCTGACACCCTTCCTGGGCTCTGACGTCCACCCCTAACCAGTAAATGACTAAACCTGGTGAGAAGTGGGTGAAACTCTGTACACTGAAGTCAGGGTTTTTTCTGAGAGATGTAATGCATGCTCATCCTCTGGAGAACTTAGGCCTGCAGCTATAAGACAAGTTCTCCTCCTTCCATGCCACTGAAACTCCTACAGTTTCTCCAGGGTGGGAGTACAGATGACAGGAATGGCGGGCACATACCATTCTCGGCCCTATCTCTTATTCTGCAAGATGGAAGCTCCCAT